TTCATTATATGATCCAATTAAAATTGTCTTCTTTTTTTTTTGTCTCCAAATTAGATTAACTTGCTAACGATCCTTATAATTCAAGGTTCAGGAAAGGAGCTCCCTCTTGTTCAATTTGTTTTATTGTTAATTCTCACCTGAGGACATTTTTTAAAATATATTTTTTATTGATTTCAAAAAGGAAGGGAAAGGAGAGAGATATAGAAACATCAATGAAGAAAATCATGGATCTGTTGCCTCATGCACATCCCCCACTGGAGCTGGAGCCCACAACCCAGTCATGTGCCCTTGAATAGGAATTGAACCTACAACCCTTTTGTGCATGGTCAATGCTCCATTGACTGAGTCATTCTGAATAGGGTTTTTATTTTATTTTTTCCTCTATTTTCTGTTCAGTTCATTTAATATATATATATATATATATATATATATATATATATATATTATTGATTTCAGAGAGGGAGAGATAGAATCATTGATCTGCTGCCTCCTACATGCCTCCTACGTGGGATCAAGCCCACAACTCAGGCATGTGCCCTTGATTGGAATGGAACCTGGGACCCTTCAGTCTGCAGGCTGACACTCTATCCACTGAGCCAAACCAGCTAGGGCTCTGTTCAGTTCATTTTAAATTAGGAATATGTTTATGGGACCTCTTTTGTATAATTAGTAATTGGTAAACCAGTGATGCCCCAAATATTGTAGTTTTCCTTTAATATATCTTTGGACTTTGCTGTCTTGAAATATCCAAGACCAAATCTGGAAAACTCCTATGCTGGCCATATGTTCACCTATGGGAAGATGACACTTACATAAGACAGGCAAAATCCGGGACTCTTTCCCAAAATTGTACCAGGAAGATACTACAGATCCACAATATGGGCCTCTAGAGGAGACCTCGAAGGCACTTATAAAAGCCACTATGAGAAAACTCTTGGCAATTTTTAAGTACAGACCCTGATCCCTTCCCTAGATCATTTAGAGGTAAATTTAACTATGAATTGGAAAAAAATAAAATAAAAAAATCTTGGCATGTAAAAATCCAGGTTGAAAGGAGATTAAAGGAATATATTTGAACAGTTACTCTGAAGAATTATTGGGAAATAAAATGCTCCCAGGGAAAAATACTGCTAGCCAATGTTTAGTCAGTTCAGCACTTAGAAATGATCTTTGGTATGTAAGTCAGACTCAAAATTGCTTTTGAAATCTCTCCAAAATTGTCTTTCCCACTCAGACTTCATGTTACCATCTAGTGAGTTGTGAAAACTCCAATTTTTCTTTAATGTCGTTTTTAAAGCTAAAATGCTAGGCCCTTTCCAAGACACACTCCACCTTGCCACTTATGATACATGGATGGCAGTAACCTTTTCCTCATGCAATACCGGAACCAAAACTTTATAGAGAAATACATCCATCTCAGGAAACTTGGAAAGACTATGAATATTAAAATATTGCCTTGCCCTGGCCGGTTTGGCTCAGTGGATAGAGCATCAGCCCGTGGACTGAAGGATCTTAGGTTCTGTTCCAGTCAAAGGCATGTACCGCCGAAACAGGTTTGGCTCAGTGGGTAGAGCGTCAGCCTGCAGACTGAAAATTCCCAGGTCTGATTTCAGTCAAGGGCATGTACCTTGGTTGCGGGCACATCCCCAGTAGGGGGTGTGCAAGAGGTAGCTGATCAATGATTCTCTTTCATTGATGTTTTTAACTCTCTGTCCCTCTCCCTTCCTCTCTGTAAAAAATCAATAAAATATATATTTTTAAAAATTGCCTTATGAAGAGACCAAGCAAGCATGGTTCGCAGGTTAAACTTTACAAAGAAAAAATATATAATAGGGCACCTCTGTTGCACAATAAGTAGAGCTAAAGTTTACAGTCATCTCTTTGTTGTATACTCCCATCTCAATGACTTCATTGTACATATTAAGCTCAACCTTCTGCCAAATGCACCTTTTTTTTTTTTAACCTACTCTTTTACTCTTTATAGAGTAGGATGATGATAGAAAATAAAATTTGGAGTAGAAATAAATAGCAGATAATAAACCATAATTGTTTTTAATCTTGAGGATGAGTCACCCTCAATTTATTTCCAATTTCTCTGCCATCAGCTGTTCATTTCTTTATTTTGAATATCATCAGATTAACACTGCCAAAGGCAGGTAGGAAATTATCCAAGAAGACTAATCAGAGGCATCACACAGTGAGTGGATGAAAAACTGGGAATGCAATAATCCTCCTTTTTTGTTCTAGTGAAATCACAATGTATGAACTTAATTTAAACTTTCATGATTCCAATCAGTGTTTTTTATATTAGTACTAGTGGCCTGGTGTATGTAATTTGTGCATGGAGGGGGCTGGGGGGAGGGAGGAGTCCCTCAGCCCAGCCTACACCCTCTCCAATCTTGGACACTTTAGATGTCCAACTGCTAGTTTAGGCCCGATCCCCCTCACAATCCAGGACCGCTGGCTCTTAACTGCTCACCTGCCTGCCAGCCTGATTGCCCCCTAACCGCTCCCCTATTAGCCTGATTGAGGCCTAACTGCTCCCTGCTGGCCTAATCACCACACAACTGCCCTCCCCTGCTGGCCTGATCACCCCCAAAGCTTTTATTAGTACAGATAATGTCTGTCCGTCACTTTGCATATAAGATATTCAATTAGGTCTAACTTCAAAATTAATTTCAAGTCAAATTATATATTCTTTTTACCTTTTCTTTTTAATGCTTTCATATGCCTTCCTTAAATCTTCCTTTGGTATAAGGAATTTCAAAGCTGAATGGTCAAACAGACATTCTAATATCACAATCGTAAGAAATGTGATTGATCTGTGATGTGAGCTGTCAAAACCTGAGTGATTCTCCTGTTCATTAGTTTGTTTCCTTTTTTGTTAATCCTCGCCTGAGGATATTTTTTTCATTGATTTTTACAGAGAGTGGAGAGAGAGAAATGTCAATGTGAGACATTCCTTGGTTGCCTCCTGCACAAGTCTTGACCAGGGCCAGGGCTGGGGAAGAGCCTGCAACCAAGGTATATACATACTCTTGACTGGGATCAAACCTGGGACCTTTTGCTCTGAAGGCCAAGGCTCTATCCACTGACAAAACTGGCTAGGGCTGTCCATCAATTTATCAGGGTGTTCAGATCTGCTGTAAAGTATATGCTTACGCCCAGCCGGGTGTAGCTCAGCAGTTGAGCCTCAACCCAGGAACCAAGAGGTCACCGGTTCAATTCCTGATCCGGGCATGTGCCCAGATTGTGGGCTCAATCTCCAGTATGGGGCCATGTAGGAAACAGCCAATCAATGATTCTCTCTCATCATTGATGTTTCTCTCTCTCTCCCTTCCTCTCTGAAATCAATAAAAAATGTTAAAAAAATATATAAGCTTACTATTTTATCTATATATGGCTTGTCTTCCTTAAGTAGATTAGGTTCTTAAACCCATTCAACCTCTAACTCCTACTCAGGGTTGGGAAAAGGAGATTGCAGTCCAGATGTTCCCCCTAGGACCTAGGTCCAAGTAACAGTCCAATCACTGAAGAAAGACTAAAGATAGAGGTTTCAGACTGTCCCTAACATCTTTCTTGATTTGTTTTTAAATACATTTAAAAAACATTTTATTGATTTTTTACAGAGAGGAAAGGAGAAGGATAGAGTTAGAAACATCAATGAGAGAGAATCATCAATCAGCTGCCTCCTGCTCACCTCCTACTGGGGATGTACCCACAACCCAGGTACTCTCCCTTGACCAGAATCAAACCTGGGACCTTTCAGTCCGCAGGCTGAAGCTCTATCCACTGATCCAAATTGGTTTTGGCTTGAAATACATTTTTATTGCTTTTATAGAGGAAAAGAGAGGGAGAGATAGAAACATCAATGAGAGAGAACCGTAAACTGTGATCTCCTGGTTCACAGGTCAATGCTCAGCCATTGAACCATGCCAATTGGGCTGTTTGTTTTTCTTTTCTTTTTTTTTTTCTTTTTTAAAATATATTTTATTGATTTTTTTTTACAGAGAGGAAGGGAGAGGGATACAGAACTAGAAACGTCGATGAGAGAGAAACATCGACCAGCTGCCTCCTGCATCCCCCCTACCGGGGATGTGCCCGCAACCAATGTACATGCCCTTGACTGGAATTGAACCTGGGACCGTTCAGTCTGCAGACCGATGCTCTATTCACTGAGCCAAACCAGTTTCGGCTATTTTTGTTTTTCTTATTTCCTAACATCTTCTTAAATATACAAGTATGCAAACTCAGATTACTAGTAGACATTTACCTGTCAGAAGACCATTCTCAAACTTAAAGTTACTTTAAAAAATGTTTTTATTGATTTTAGAGAGAGAAGGAAGAGGAAGAGATAGTAACATCAATGATGAGAATCATTGATTGGCTGCTTCCTGCACACTTCCTACTGGGAATGGAGCCCACAGCCTGGGCATGCACCCTGCCCAGAATGCAACTGTTAACTTCCTAGTTCGTGGATTGATGCTCAACCACTGAGCCACACCAGCCGGCTGTAGTACTTTTTACACTTGCCTCAAATTATGCCTATCTAGGCAGCAAAGTAGAAAAGCTAAAATGCCACCCAAATAATTCAGGAAAAATAAATATTGTTTTCATTTGAAATCTCCAGATAATTGAAACAGAAAGAAAGTGTTCTGGCTAGATGCCATTTTCTCCTTTGCTTTGAGGTTGTAGGCACAATCATAAATGTCTGCAACCAGTGAGCTGTCAAGTAACTGAGGCTCAACCTGGAGTTCAATGCATAGTAGGGAAGTGTTGTCCTACTTTCTTAGTTAATATTAATAGAAATATAAATGAATCAAAATGTTCTGGTATAGCCACAACTCTTCTAAAAAACACACAGAATAAATGTTAATTCGTGACAAGTGTCCACACTTAGTCATGCTAGATGATGGTACTGTGTAGAGGCTGGTGAGGGAGAAAGTTTGTCATAGCTCCTTCTGGGAAGTTTCTCCCTCCTCCCCCCTCCACCTTTCACATTAGCTAAAATGAGTGAATATCAGCTCCTGACGGATCCGGTCAGCCTCTAGGTCCAGGGACTCCATGTGCTCATACTCTTCCTCAGGGGGTTGTTCCATGGGTCCTGTCATTGGAGAAGACCAAATATCCATTCCATGCTCCAAGGAGATGTTGTGGAGGACACAACAAGCCAAGATGATGTGGCTGGACTTCTCTGGTGAGTACTGTAGAGCCCCCTTGGACCCATCCAGGCAGCGGAATCGGGAGCAGAGGGTTCGGAAAGTCTTCTCAATCACACTGTGAGTTGCAGAATGGGCCACATTATAGCGATATTCAGCTGGAGTTTCATGAATGTGAAGTGGTGTCATAAGCCAGGTACGGAGAAAGAAGGAACTGTCACCTGTGGGGAAGGCCCAAATAAATCATAAATGATCATAGTTGGAATACAAACAAAAAGGAAAATCCAAGAACATATACAGAGAATGGACAACAGCCTCTGGAGCCAATGCACAACAGAAAAACCAAGAGGAAAATGCTCTGGTAAAGAGAAAACATGCCAGAATCACAAGCAGATAAACACAAATCTTTTTTTTTTTTTTTTAAACAACTTTTTTTAAAAAATATATATTTTATTGATTCTTTACAGAGAGGAAGGGAGAGAGATAGAGAGCTAGAAACGTTGATGAGAGAGAAACATCGACCAGCTGCCTCCTGCACACCCCCCACCGGGGATGCTCCCGCAACCAATGTACATGCCTGGGATCGAACCTGGGATCTTTCAGTCCGCAGACCGACGCTCTATCACTGAGCCAAACCGGTTCCGGCTAGACACGAATCTTACTTAGCTGGGAATATCCTTGGTTAAAACCAACAGAGATGCCCTAACTGGTTTGGCTCAGTAGATAGAGCGTCGGCCTGCGAACTGAAGGGTCCCAGGTTCAATTCCGGTCAAGGGCATGTACCTTGGTTGTGGGTACATCCCCAGTAAAGGGTGTGCAGGAGGCAGCTGATCAATGTTTCTCTCTCATCGATGTTTCTAACTCTCTATCCCTCTCTCTTCTCTGTAAAAAAATCAATAAAACTTAAAAACAAACAAACAAAGAAACAGAGAAAAAGGCTGATAGCTAAAGAAAGCCAAATCTGAAAAAAATGTAGGAAGGAGGTGAAGGCACTGAAGGAAATAAAATTCCTGGTAATAAAAAGTTAGTAAAAACTATCACAAACAAACCTTCAAAATCTCTAAAGGGCTAACACGCCAGAGAGATCAAGAGAATTCTGCCACAAGATCTCAAAACACTTAAGAAAATTTTTCTAAATTTTACCACTAAAATGTCGGGTCTGAATGTATTACCTAGGGATTCCAGAGTAGTTTATAATAACTCATTCTGCTAAGAATAAAAGTTCCAGCGTCTGTGGTAGAGACAGAACTTAGATGTCCTGCCTTCCTACATTTCTTTGTAACAGGGGAACTTGTAGAACTTCATATTAACAAGTAGAGCATAAATCTGATGATGCAAATAATAACAGTGATGAAGAAATAAAATCAGAAGTCAATTAAAATAATGTATAGGAAGCATTTCCCTTAGGTAACCTATCAAATGATCTTGGGAAGTGCTAAAAATAAAACAAAAACTGGGATGCAATGTCCTAACACAACAGTACAATGTTCCTATAATGTTTAATTGTCCTGACTCATTACATCTGGCAGATGAAATGTCTCACAGAAGCACAACCACTTAGAAATCTGAGACAAACAGGCCCTCGCTGTACCAACTTGCATAATTGTTGTCCTGACTCACCATTAATTTCAGTAAATAGTTATAGAGAATACTAGGCACTGTTCCAAAACATATAGGAGCTTACATTTTAGGAGCTTACATTCCTAAGAACTGGATTGTCTTTGCTTTTAAAAATACTTTTTGTACTCTGGTCAGGTAGCTCAGCTGGTTAGAGCATCATCCAGGTACCCCCAGGTTGTAGGTTCCATGGTCAGGGCATGTACAAGAATCAACCGATGAATGCATGAATAAGTAGAACAACAAATTGATGTCTGTGTGTGTGTGTGTGTGTGTGTGTGTGTGTTATTAATCAAATAGTTTTTAAAAATAAAATATTTTTGTAATGAAAAAAATGTTATCCTAGCTGAAACCGGTTTGGCTCAGTGGATAGGGCGTCAGCCTGTGGACTGAAGGGTCCAGAGTTCGATTCCGGTCAAGGGCATGTACATTGGTTGCGGGCACATCCCCAGTAAGGGGGTGTGCAGGAGGCAGCTGGTCGATGTTTCTCTCTCATCGATATTTCTAGCTCTCTCTTCCACTCTGTAAAAAATCAATAAAAATATATTTTTTAAAAAAATGTTATCCTATATAATCCTATGTAATAAAAGGGTTATATACAAATTGACCAAATGGTGGAATGACCGGTCACTATGATGCACATTGACCACCAGGGGGCAGACGCTCTCTGCAGGAGCTTCCTTCTGAGCATTGCTCAGCCAAAGGCTGGGCTGACACTGGTGAGTGCAGGGGAGGTGGCCGGAGCCTCTTCCACCTCCGAGGCGGCACTAAGGATATCCAACTGAGGCTTAGGCCTACTCCCCGGACTACTAAAGGGTTCAGGCCGGGCTGAGCAACCCCCCTCCCCACATGCACGAATGTCATGTACCGGGCTCTAGTTGAGATATAATTGACATACATTGATTTTATTAGTTTTAGGTGTACTAGATTAACTTTAAATATTTGAAATCCCACAAAATTTTCAAAATTTTATATTTGGCTGCCCTTTTTCCTACCTGTCCTAAGTACAATCTAATTTAATTGAACTCACCCCTACTAAATACTCTATTTAAGAAACTTATGTAACCTAGTTGGTGTTGCTTAGTGTTGACATATGAACCAGGAGGTCATGGTTTGATTCCAGGTCAGGGCACATGCCTGGCTTGTGGGCTTGATTCTCAGTGTGGGGCATGTAGGAGGCAGCCGATCAATGATACTCTCTCATCATTGATGTTTCAATCTCTTTCTCCCACTCCCTTCCTCTCTGAAATCAATACAAAGAGTTTTTAGCTGAGGTCTCAAAAAAAGGACAGAACAGACTCAAATCTAAAGACTCCCGTATTTCATTTACTCTGCTACAAAATCCTATGGCTACAGAATTAAGCATTTCCACTTGCAAACTTACCAAGCAGCCAGCTCTCTTTGTGCATGCCAGCTTCGAACTGGTTACTGAGAGAAGACTGCTGCAGCACAGCATAGTCCTGCAGGCTGCCTGGCCAGTTTGTTTCCACGGCCATTAGTGCGCCTCTGATGTCACACACCATTAGGCAGTTTAAAGAATGCAGACCTTTGCGGTTCACGTAGGAGAGGTCTTCAGCATTTGGTGCCTTGATTGCCACATGGATACAGTCAACCACTCCTATTACCCCTGGCATCGCAGCCAACCCATAGAATTCATCCTTCAGAGCCTGGATGGAGGCTTCGTCACCTGGAAAGTGAATGAACTGTGAGGCTCTTTCTACAAGGGCTTCGGTGACGTTGGCAACACATCGACTCATAGATGCCTGGCTGATTCCTATAGCATCTCCCATCCGAGTCTGGAAGGAGCCTGACGTATAGAAACCCAGTGCTGCGAGGATCTGTGTCTCTGGGCTAATAGCCCTGGATCTCTGAGTAGGTCTAGAAAGACTCGCTCCCAAGAGCTCCACCAAATAATAAATAAACTGTCGAGGAAACCCATACATGGACATCAAGTAGTCATCGGTCACATCATCCAACTTAAAACGGTCCAATGTCCGGTGACCTCGGCCATACAGTAAGAGGTCACAATCAAGCACTGTTATAGGTATAGCCATGGTACATGTGTTGATCTCTTTTCCACTGCTATTTTTCCTGAATTCTTCCCAGTTAAGACCTTGGTGCAGGAAGGTATTTAAAAGAAGTGTCAGAATTCAACAGCTAACCAGCAGTTAAATGGCACTGGCATTTATAATCTTCTCTCTGTAAAGGTTAAAAGAAAAAAGAAAAAAACACATTAGAAACCACCAAAGACTTTTCTAAGGTTACAATAATTCCTCTTCTCAAATTTCTATGTTGTTCAAGCAAAAGGTGCTCTACTTGTATCTCTAGGTTTTTCTCCACTAACTCATGGCTTCATGACATGGGGGTTTATTTTCTCCCTGGCATTTGAACTGAGAAGAGCAAAAGATTCATGGAGGTGATGGCATAATTATCCACGAGGTAAAAGAGGTCTGCTCTTAACGATACAGGCCACGAAGGAGTTGACTTAAGGGCAAGGGATTAGTCACGGCGGCGGTTTTCTTTACCCAAAGCTCTCTGGCTCCCCCTGATAAAGTACTGGACGGAAGCGGGTGGTGGTGGTGCTCAAACCGGTCTAACAAGGGAGAAAGGAGGGGGCGGAGGGAAGAAAAACCACTCACGACCCCGGCTGATGGAGGTGGGTTATGCGCTCTAACAATCGTGAGGCCTGAGGCCGAGGGGCTAGGAAATAGAGAGGAACCAACAAGTTAGAAGAAATATGCGAAAGAAGACGCTGAGAGAGCTAGGGCTGGGAGTCGACTAGCGCCGCTTTTAAGAGGCGCCTTAAAGACGGAAAAGGAATATTCTGTAAACCTGAGTGCGGCGGCTACCCAAAGTGAGCTAAAAGTCCGTCGGCTACTCAAAAGTCAGCTAAAAGCCCGTCACCCACCTCTCGGAGGCTGCCAGGTGACCAGCCACATTCCCGCCCACCCAGCCTGGTTCCGCCCTCCCCCGGAACCGGCAGTCGCGCACAATCCGCCACGCTGCTCAGCACAGGCTCCGCCCCCTCTGCGTCAGCGTCCGCCCCACGCCGCGTCCTCGCCGGTCCCTGCCGCAGTGACTTGCGATTCGGCCGCGCACATTCCTCACGCGGCCCACATGTTCTAGCTCTTTCAAAGACCCCGTTCTTCACGCTTTTATTTTCTTCTGAGACGCCGGGAAATATTGGCCATCAAGGCACATGGGTGAAAAATACATTTTTATGTGAATTTCGAAGAGGAAAGAGATTAACTAGGGCGTTCCTGTGTAGCGAAAGTGCGGCTGAAATTAGGCGGCTGTATTTCCCCCGTAGCCCTCTTCCTCCCCCCGCGATCACCGAAGCAGATGAAAACAAACACTAACGATGGCGGCGCCGGGAAGCGGCCGGCCGAAGGACTTAAAGCAGGAGTGATCGCTTGAGTTGTGATGAGAGTTCAAGAGCTCCGGTCGACGTGTGGGCGACGACTCGCTCAGTCTTGAGAGCGAATACCTGGGGGTCTTCAGTCCACGAGCCTGCTGAGGGGTGAACTGTCTGCGACCCGGGCTGTCACTACTGGTCCGGAGCGCAGAACCCTCGGCCGGGAGGCGCAGCTGGCCGGCCCCAGGCCCCTGCCTCCGTAATGAGAGCCCGGAGCCACTCTTTGTGTTGCAGCTTTGCAGGTACTAACTTTGGAGGGCATACCCCCAGACCTGTCAGCGCCCCCGGGTGGGAGGCTATGGATCTGCGGCGTGTCGGGGGGGCCTCCTTGGGAAGCTGAAACTGACCACCCACAGTTGAGTCCCCTGAGCGTTCTCTGGGAAGTCGGGTTGGGCTACATTGCCCTTTGATTGTTACCAGTCTTGACAAAGGTCCCAGAGCTTTCATCTATACTTTCTCAGTTCCTTGGGTTAAGTCCTAAAGGGTTTTGGAGATAATTTTGGGCCCATAACTCCGGGGTTGGGTACCAATGTGAGTTTGGTTAGATTTTCATTCAATCAAGATTTGCTGAGTGCCAAATATGTACTCCGCGTGTAGGTGAGGGTGACTGTTGACTAGTGAAAAAAGGGACCCAAGGTTCACGACTATCTTCTTACTGGCAGTGGAACGACCTGAGGAAACCTGCGATCCATTCTCATTAAATAAATCGCTGGGTAAGTGCTAAGCACCTTCCTGGGCTCATCACTAACTCATCTCCGTTTTCACTTTCTCAGCCAGTTTTCAGTTTTCCTGGTCAGTTCAGCGTAGCATTTCATTTTCAGTGTTTCTTCCTCTTCTGGGCATCCTACCTCTAGAAAGAGGAAAAAGGGAGAGAGATCAGGAGAAGGAATACGAATGAATGAATATTAAAGAAAAGAAAGTACCTGTTTTCTTATTTTTAGTTTAAAACTTATCTCCTAAGATGGTAGAATCTTATTGAACACCTTTAATGGGAGATGTGCAATAGTAAGAAACAATAGGTCCTTCCCTTACACTAAGCTAACTTCCAGATTTTCATGTGTTGTTTTATGAGTGTTCTTTTCATGTAGCTCCAACTACATTACAAATTTTTTGTCTTCAACTTCCTTTTCCACAAGCATTTAGAAGAGCAGAAGTCTTTTTTTTTTTAAATATATTTTATTGATTTTTGTACAGAGAGGAAGGGAGAGAGATAGAGAGTTAGAAACATCGATGAGAGAGAGTCATCAATCAGCTGCCTCTTGCACAACCCCCACTGGGGATATGCCCGCAACCAAGGTACATGCCCTTGACCGGAATCGAACCCGGGTCCCTTCAGTCCCCAAGCCGACGCTCTATCCACTGAGCCAAACCGGTTTCGGCCGAAGAGCAGAAGTCTTATAAACGTTTGTAGAATGGAATCCTGAGTTAATATTTTCAGTACACAATGGATGATGAATAAGTGCTGGAGCAAGTGTCACATATACTGATTTGTATAGTAAAAACACATGTAAATTTATTCACTGTTCCCAAATTGTATGCCTTTGGGTATAAAATTAAGGAGACTATGGCAACTTTTGAGATTTACATTTCATAAAATTTGCAAACCACTGGGTTTTCCATTACTCTACTTACACCTAACAATAATTATTGAGTACTTGCATTTTTTTTTTGTCCTCAAGAGTGGTTATTAAAATTGAAGCAAAAACTGCAAGTCTTCAGCTATTAAACACTCCAAATTATAATATTTTATTTAGGGACTAAATCAGTTGGACACAGAGGGATCCTACCATAGTACTGGAGTTGTACTGAATTGAAGTGGGGGCAATAAATCTTTTTCCTTTTCCCGTTCACCCAACTGCATTAGTTTATATTTTCCATGATGACTCAGCAGGGTGTCTATACCTTAAATGCAAAAAATAGCCTAAGATATTAACTTTTGAGCTTCCGAAGACTAAAGTGTTACTATATAAGTGATTTTTCAAGACTATTCTTTACTATTTTGAAAATTCTTTACTATTTTGGGGATATACCCACTGTAGAATTTATTGCACCTTCTGGAAAAAAGTTTTTTAATCTTAAGAATGCCTAGAAGTCCCTAAAACTTTGTTTTTAAATATTTATTTCCTTTTAAAATAGTTTTTACTTTATCACAGAAGAGATGAATAATTACATACATAACTGTGTGTTTGGAGAGCTGCTTAGATCACAGAGAATGAAGAGTACACTTAAAAAAATTCCTCACTGTTACTCTGGGCAGGGAGGGTATGTATGGGGGGGGGGCAAAAAAATCAATAAAATATATTTAAAAAAATAAAAATAAAATGAAATAAAAAAAATTCCTCACTGTTATGACCTTTTATTATTCAACTTAGTTTCTTGTTTTATACAGCAAAAACCAGGAAGTTTTACTAAAGGTGGGCCAGAGTTGTATTTATCCCTGGTGCTTGGCTGGATTTAGATAAGGAAACCCACCCCCTGGCACCTGTGGAGAAGGTCCTAGCTGACAACATTACTGCCTCTGGCAAGGTGTGTTTCCAAGAGGTGGCTTTACCAGCGCCATTGGATTCAGCCAACAATAATTAAATGCTCATGTGCTTGCTCAGGAGCTCTCTGCAGGATTAAGATTCTCAGTCAAGGGCATGTACCTGGTTCCAAGTTTGATTCCTGGCCCTGGTCTGGGTTCCCTGTTCAGGGTACATGTGGGAGCCAACCAATTTTTGTGCCTTGTCTCTCTCTCTCCTTCCCTCCCTCTCTCCCCCTCCCTCCCTACCTGCCTCCCTCACGTCTCCTCTCCTCTCTCTCCCTTCCCCTCCCTCCCTTCCACTATTTTAAAAAAATCTGTGGAAAAGATATCCTGGGGTAAGGATTAACAAAACAAAACCAAAAATTTATGGCTTTTCCATTTTTCAGAGATTATCACTACTCAGTGTCCCTTTTAATCTCATTTCATAACTTTTGACCTGGAATTCCATTATAAATACTTCTGCTTTCTTTTTGTCCTTTTTCCTTCCTCTTCCTCTTTTTTTTTTTTTTTTTTTTTAAACTAAGTATATCTGCTTATTTCTTTACTTTTAAATTTTTTCTGTAACTCTTTTAGGTATGAAGATGATTTCAGTTTTTAAACTTTGGTGTTTCTCATTTGTCTACAAAGAACTTTCTAAATGGAATAAAGGATCTTTGTAATTTAATAATAACTCTGATGCCTGAAGTGGGAAAATGACTATTTTTTTCAGTTTGAACTTGAATTTAACTATTTGTTAACTGTTTCAAATGTACAATATTGAGCTTTTTAGTTATTTATTTTTAAAATACATTTTTATTGATTTCAGAGAGGAATAGAGAGGGAGAGATAGAAACATCAATGGTGAGAATCATTGATCGGCTGCTTCCTGCACACCCCATACTGGAGATCGAGCCTACAACCTGGCATGTGCCCATCAGTCAGATGCTTTTTCCATCGAGCCAAATGGACTAGGACATCATGTTGAGCTTTCTAATGCCTGAATCCAAAACATTAAAAAATTTAGTTAAAAATTAGAAAATATAGACATTATATAATCTCCTGCCAAATCATTCAGTGGTTTCTTTGAAATTATTTACTCTTCCCTTCATTTTTTAAAAAAATATATTTTATTGATTTTTGTACAGAGAGGAAGGGAGAGAGAGAGAGAGAGTTAGAAACATCGATGAGAGAGTCATCGATCAGCTGCCTCTTGCACACCCCCTACTGGGGATATGCCCGCAAACAAGTACATGCCCTTGACCGGAATCAACCCGGGACCTTTCAGTCCCCAAGCTGACGCTCTATCCATTGAGCCAAACTGGTCTTGGCTCTTCCCTTCATTTTTTGATGTGTCACCTTAACTTACAAATCCAGTGTGTAAATAATCCCATATGATTTTAATAATGGTAGGATTACTTAAATAGCTTTCTCACTGGTTGCTCTGCTTTTAGTCTCTTTATTTAATTTCTCCTCTATATTCAGATAAATGTCCCTAAATCTACTTATAGAATAATCTACATTGACTCCCTTCTAAGGTACTATTAGATTCTCTATTGCTCACCTAGTAATCTGGCCAGGCCATACTTATCTACTTTTTTTTTTTTTTTCCTCTACATGAAAATTCTCAGCTATATATTTTTCTAATTTTGCTTCTCCTCTATCCTTTCTTTTCTTCTTTTGGGATTCTCATTACACATGTTAGACCTCACTGTGTCCTCATGAGGTACCTTCATGTCTCATTTTACACTCGATGCCATGGGATGATTTAATTAATTAATTGTTTATTTTTAATATATTTTATTGATTTTTTACAGAGAGGAAGAGAGGGATAGAGAGTTAGAAACATTGATGAGAGAGAATCCCCTAATGGGGATATGCCCGCAACCAAGGTACATGTCCTTGACCGAAATCGTACTCGGGACCCTTCAGGCCGACACTCTATCCACTGAGCGAAACCGGTTTCAGCGGATGATTTAATACTTTAAATACTGTCCTTTTTTCTCTCAAAAGTATCCCAAAGGTGTATAGTATTTGTTTTGTGTTTCTTTTATGCTTGGTCTCTATTTCCTAACCTTTTGCCACTTTGTACATTATTCTGAATATACTATCTTTCGGCCCTTTCAATATTGTATCTTCTGCTGGTCTTATTTGTTAGATTCAACCTTTGACTTCTTCATTTAGTGTTTTTAGTTTTAGAATTTCTGTTTGGTTCCTTCTATACTTCCTAGTTCTCCATTAAATTCTTAAGTTTATGCTTTATGTAATTGAATATATTAAGGGTAGTAATTTAGAGTCTGTGTCTGATAACTATTAATATATTTCTAATTTCTAATGTCTGTGTGATCTGTTGGAATTTGGTTATTTGGGTTTATCTCCATGAATGCCAAGTTTATTTTAATATGTGTTAGATATCTATCTACCGTGTTTCCCTGAAAATAAGACATCCTCCGAAAATAAGACCTAGCACATCTTTGGGAGAAAAAATTAATATAAGACACTGTCTTATTTTCGGGGAAACAGGGTATATATAAAAGGCTAAGCAACCGTTCCGCTGGCTGGTAGGTATGATGCACACTGACCACCAACAGGCAGACTCTCAATGCAGGAGCTGTTGAGCTGTGGTTCTTGTGTGACACACCCTGGAACCAGAGAGGAAGGAGCCTGATTCTGGGGTGCATCGCCAGAGAAGAAAACTACCCTCTCGCAATCTGGGACCCTTTGAGGGATGTCAGAGAGCTGGTTTTGGCAGGATCCCCACAGGCCAGGCCGAGGGACTCCACCTGCCAGAGGGACCCTGCTCACTCTGCAGACACCCTTCAAGCCACAGCACTGCCCTAGGTGCAGCTGATGGGGGAAGAACCGCAGGAGGTTGGCTCCAGGACATGTCCAGACCCGCTGACCACCTTCTAATTAATTTCCTTTCAATGTGCAGGAGTCCATGCACCGGAGTAAACATTAGCCTGACTAGCATAGCTCTGTAATTGAGCATCGACCTATGAACTAGGAGATCATGGTTTGATTCATGATCAGAGCACATGCTTGATCTCCAATGCGAGGCATATAGGAGACAGCTCGATCTGATTGCAGTTATAAGAGTTTATACAAATAAAAATATTTATTGAGCTAAGAGTTTTGCATTTCATTGCATGTAAGTTATACCTCAGTAAAGAATAGTGGATTATGGCTTTTTATATATATACTTGTACTCATTACTTCCTATTTCAACTCTCCTTTTGTCTATACCTTTCCTTTAAAATCAGCTTTCCCCCCCAGCCAGTTTGGCTCAGTGGATAGAGTGTTCACCTGGAGACTGAAAGTTCCCAGGTTCAATTCCAGTCAAAGGCACATGACTGGACTGTGGACTCCATCCTTAGTAGGGGGCATGTAGGAGGTGGCTGATCAATGATTCTCTCTCATCATTGATGTTTCTATCTCTCTCTCTCCCTCTCCCTTCCTCTCTGAAATCAATAAAAATATATTTTTTAAAAAGATTAAAAAAAAACAAAACAGCTTTCCTTCTGGCTTCTCTGTTTTTGTTTTTGTTTTTGTTTTTTGTTAATTGAAACCCTGTTTTTGTAGTCAGTCTTTAAATCCTTTAACATGTTAATCGCCCTATCAGTCACAGGTAACTGACACTATACTTCGGAGCAGAAGACAAAACAGGCTGGGCCCTTAATGTGTTATAATATCTTCCATCTATACTGTTTCCAGATCATTGTAACTAAAGTGTTAGCCTTGCCCACAGTCTGAATTATTGCCAAGAACCTAATTGGTTTTCCTGCTTTTCATACTCAAAGCTATTATACAATATGTCAGCAAAGCTGTGTTTCTAAAGCACCATTCAGACGATACTACTACTCTGTTATTTTCTTTCTTCAAAAGCCTACTAAGGACAGATCAAGCTCTAACATTGCATTTAAGACTCTCACGGTCTGGCCCCAACCAGTCATACTACTTCCTCATCCATACACAATCCTCTGAAAAACTGGGATACTTTATCATTCTAAAGCCATTTGATCTCTGTTGCTTTAAACCTCTTTGTACATGTTCTTCTCTCGCTAAATGCTTTCTTCCTCATTGCAGCTTCATTTAAGTCTATTCAACCTGAGGGTGTTATGACCTGCTTCAAGAAATCCATGAACCCTTTGCAAATGTTTCCATATATGTACTTTTTTTTTTTTTTTTTTTTTTTTTTTTTGAGAAAGGGCTTATCTTGCCATCAGGCTCTCAAAAAAAAGTTCATAAACCTCCCTAAAGTTAAACTGATTTAGGGCCTTTTGAAGGAATGTAAATTAATTAATTTTATGCTTTAACAGTTTTCGTTCTTAATATGCTGGGTAATAAGACATTTTTAATACATTATATTTAAAGCTCAAAGATTCAGATTCGGATAAAATGTCTTATCCTCATTCATTTTTTAGGTCTTTAGATTTAGCTCTTTGTATAGAATTTATTTTCCTCAAAAGATATTATCATAATTTTTTTTTTCCACTTTGGCTCTTTAGTTAGAGGGGAATTTTTTCTCTTTCGTACATGACTAGTCATACAGCTCGTAATACTGTCTCTGTGTAGCTATCCCTTTTAAAAAATATTAGTCACATTTTAAAGCATTTTTTCTGTTTTAGGTTCCCATAGGCAATGGAAACTGATATCAATTCCCAAGACAGAAAGGACCTGGACAAATTCATTAAATTTTTTGCCCTCAAGGTAATATCCATTCTCTTGAACCTAGAATTGTTGGAAATAACTTCCGTGCTTTTCCCTTTTTGGAAATACAGCATAACAGCTTGCAGCTTACCCATTCTGATGGATACTCTATCTGTTGTAAACTAAACTGTGAAGTTTGGGGGTGGTACTGGGGGTGTAACTAAAAAGTAGCTTCCAATTTTCCACAGCTACTTGTTAAAAAAAAAATTTTTTTTTGCAAGCCTGTTTGCAGAAATGTCAAACTATTATACCAGGTTATTGGCACAGTATGTTCCCTTGGGGTGGGAACAAAAACTGGACCGGAATGGATAGCCTTTTGGGCATCTTTCCCTAAACATCACACAACTGAAACATCTTTCATTTATTGTTCCATTCTGGTAAATGAGGAATTAAAACTGAATTTTGAATGCTTTAGAAGTTATATTTTTCTAAATCTAAAAATTTTTTCCATTCCTTCCTCTCAAGCATTGCCATGTAAGAACAATTCACGCAATAGATGCTGGTTGTAAAATTAGTTGGAAGACTTTTGCCATATGGGCCAAAAGATAGGAATAATTGTGGAATCCTTGGTTTAAATCTACTAGGATTACATAAGTGTATGGCAATGAATATTTACACCTACTGTTTCTTTAGAAAGTCAGAGCCGCCATGTGCAACTTCCTTCTGCTATGTGAGTACATCGCAGGTTATAAGTCTCAAACTAATTTCTCTAATTGGTTGACACTGTGTCTTTGGGAATATTTACAGTATTCTTTTTGTATAGTGTTTTTTCTATCTGTTCTTGAATATTTTGAGTTTCTAAAGTATAGTTATAATTATTGGCATCTTTTAAAACCTGCTTTGTAAGGATTTTAATCCTGATTGGTAAGCAAACCAATTTAAGATTTTTCATCATAGATTTTTTTTGATATTTGTTTTTTGTTGTTGTTGTTTTTTTTAGACTGTTCAAGTGATTGTCCAGGCTCGACTTGGCGAGAAGATTTGTACTCGTTCATCTTCATCCCCAACGGGTTCAGACTGGGTAAAATTTCTATTCTTCGCTAAGTGGTATACTCTTTGTTACAAGGAATCCCAGTGCAGTAATAAGGGATACTGTTTATAGTATTACTAAAGCATAACATTAAAATATCTAATTCCATTTGATTCATTCACTTGGAAAGTATGTTTTTCATTGAATGTTAGTCCTGGATTTGGTTCTTGGCTTTCTGCTTCTTTAGGTGAAAAGCTTAGTCTTTAGAAAACAAAAATATCTTGTTACTAATTTTTGTCCTAGGTCGTTAACAGTTTCAAGTTGAGCTCTGGAGCTTTTCTTTTTTTCTTTCTTTTTAAATATATTTTATTGATTTTTTTTTACAGAGAGGAAGAGAGAGGGACAGAGAGTTAGAAACATCGATGAGAGAGAAACATCGACCAGTTGCCCCCCGCACACCTCCCACTGGGGATGCACCCGCAACCAAGGTACATGCCTTTGACCAGAATTGAACCCGGGACCCTTCAGTCCGCAGGCTGACGTTCTATCCACTGAGCCAAACCGGTTTTGGCGAGCTTTGGAGCTTTTATGCAGGATACCTCTATGGGGAAAGAAAAAGTGAATGAATGTCCTTAACCAGTCAAAGCAGTGCCTGCATTACCCAACGTACAATCTGTCTGCTTTATGTTTCTATAATGCTTTCTGTGAGTGAAAAGTCCTTTTTGTTTTCCAGTTCAATTTAGCAATCAAAGACATCCCAGAGGTTACACATGAAGCAAAGAAGGCTCTGGCAGGGCAGCTGCCCGCCATCGGGAGATCTATGTGTGTGGAGATCTCACTCAAGACTTCTGAGGTAAGGCTGTGGCTAGGATGGGTCTTAACCTGACACTCAGATCTCTTCACACTCTGGTTCTAACTCAGCCGTATTCCTGCACCTTCCCTCTTTGAACTTCTCTCATCATTCTCTGAGGAGGTCATGTTTTTTGCACTTTTTTCTTCCAACCACCTGGAATATAGGCTTATCACCCGCATCTTTGTATATATCACCCGTATATGACGTTTCTACTTATCCTCAAGACTCACTTGCTCTAGAAAATCTTCCCCTATTAGAGGGAGAGGTAACAGTTTTAGACTTCCCATGTACTTTGTTTGTATTCATTTCTGGAGTAGAACTTGCTATATTGTGATTTGTTTTTTTGGTTGTTTGTTTTTTTTTTTTTTGCTTACCTTATTCCACATTAGGATTGAGGCAGGTATTGTTACTTATGTGTATATTAATCTATTTCCACTACAAGATTGTGAGGCTTCATGGTATAATGAAAAAGAGATAAGAGGTTGGAGCTACACAGACCCAAATTCAGGTCTCAGCTGAGTGACTTTGGCCAAATTACTTAACCCTATCCCCACCACCACCACCTAACTAACACAACATTTCCCAGTGTTGCAGGGATTCAATATTTTCATTTAATCCTTATTTGTAAAGAGGCTAACATGACATAGTAGGCAATTATTACATCTTCCTATTCATATTTTACACTTTTATTCTGGAGTTCAGCAGCTATGCCACATCTTATTTATCCTTGTAGTTCTTCAAATTCTTTCTGAAATGAGGCAGCATATAATCATCTCTGTGCCTAATACAGTGCCTGGGATAGCATGTTGAAAGCTATCAATGAACTTTGTTGAATGAATATTGTCAATACTTAAATTATGAAAACTTGAGAAAGAAATAAAACAAAACTTCTTGTTCTTTATTGAATTGCCAGTTTAGTACACTATAATTTTTTTTTTTTTTTTTTTTTTTTTTTTTTTTTTTAGTGATTCATAGGGAGTCCAAAAGAAATCCCTTGAATAATTCTTTCCTCTCCAAGACATCGTGAAATCTGACTGTAAACTATTCTGAGAAATCTCACCAACTTATTTTGGATACTTCCTATTATCCATCCTTTTTTGTTGTTTTTTTGGCGGCGGGGGTGGGGGGGAAGGGGGACTAAGGGAAATGATTAAATTTATTGCATCATTTATTTTATTTTAAAATATATTTTATTGATTTTTTTTTTTTTACCAAGAGGAAGGGAAAGAGATAGAGAGTTAGAAACATCGATGAGCTGCCTCATATACACTCCCTACTGGGTATGTGCCTGCAACCAAAGTACATGCCCTTGACCAGAATCGAACCTGGGACCCTTGAGTCCACAGGCCAACGCTCTATCCACTGAGCCAAACCGGTTAGGGCTATTGCATAATTTAGAAACGACAGTATAATGAAAAGGATGTATATCAAGGGCACATATTTAACTTTGATCTAGATCAAATACAGTTCTCTATTCCACAAAGTAACCCACACTTACTCTCAAACATAAAAGAATGCCCTCTTCTAACAGATTAGTAAAAAGGTTACTTATGTGACTATCCTTCTCACTAAGTGACTCATAGGAGTGTGTGTTACAGGGTTGAAGGATTCTGGCTTTAGTCTTTTCTTTTTCTTATCTACTCAGTAAGGCTAAATCTGTTCAGAGTAACACAGACAGAGACTGAACAGTTTGGCTAAAGACATCAGATAGCTAAACAAGATTTAAGTAAGGAGCTTATTAGATATCCTTAGTTGTAGGTATCACCTGAAAATACCCCTGAAGAATTGGAGGGAAAGGCTCTCTTCATTCCTGGGAATTGTTGGCCTTACTGAAGAACAATTTGGATATATATAGCAAGTGTCTTCAAAGCATGAATACTTTTTTATCTAGTATTCTACTTCTAGAAATTTGCCTTAAGAAATAAATTCAATGTATGTGCAAAGTTTTATTCTCAAAGCTATTTATCATAATGTTGTTTGTAGTAGTAAAAAATTAGAAACAACCTGTATGTCCAAATATGGGGGACTGATTGGATAAAATGATGGTCATGTTTTTAAATACTATGCCACTATTTAAAATAATGCAAAATTTTAATAAATATAATACTGTTGTATTTATTAATAAAATAGGTGATAAAAATAGTATATATGGTCTGATTTCACTCTAGTATGTTTTATAGTGACTATATAGTGCTTTGTAATAAGAAAAAAAAGATAGCTTTTAAAAATCAAATAAAATTGAAATATCTTTCATTTGTCTCAACTATAGGGTGATTCCATGGAACTAGAAATTTGGTGTCTTGAAATGAATGAAAAGTAAGTTCTCCATCTTAGGTTCCTTGGTTGTGGTAGCTGAGGATAAAGCAGATGACATCATGTGAAAAACTGGGCTTCGTTATCCGTCATGGATAACTTAACAAAACTTAACAAAACCAGTAGAGCTTTGCTATAATGCTCATGCTTGGCTTTCAGCCCTAGCACAGAGATGACCTTCAGCGGGAGCATTATTCCAGAGAGACTCAGACATCACAGGGAAAGGAGCAGAGAAAGCTGAAAGGGTTGGTTGTTTTCCCAGAGTACAGATAGTTCTCTGATTAAATCCCGAGGGAGCTCTTGTAACATGACTACTCTATTTTGTCTGTTTTCTGTGTGGCAGACATCCAATGAGCTTTCCCCTCTCTACTCCTTCTTATACAGGGTTGGTCATAGATTGGGAATGCATGTTATTCCCTTTCTGTGTTTTTCTCTTTCAAGGCAGATTAGCTTACCTCCTGCCTGAAGTTTCACTATTTAAGGAGGTTATACATATAGAAAAATAGAGGAAATAGCAACACATCAAGAGAAAATTTCTTGTAATAAAAATATGTAGTATGGGAATTTTTTTGGTAAAAATAGAAAGCAAGTGCCTAGTTCTAGTCCAAAATTTTAGTACCAAACAGATGTGTAGAAGTAAACAGCTCATCAGAGGGTACATTGAAATTGTGATTATATCTTCATTAATATACCGGTAATTGCAACATTGAATTAGTGTCTTGATTTTATTTTTATTGATTTTAGAGAGGGGGAGAGAGAGAGAAACAACAGTGATGAGAGAAAATCATTGATCAGTTGCCTATTGCACACCCCCTACTGGGGATTGAGCCCACAACCGGGGCATGTGCCCTGGCCGGAAATCAAACTGTTACCTCCTGTTTTTTTGTTTTTTGTTTTTTTTTAAATCAATCTTTATTGTTTATATTATTACAAAGGTTCCTCATTTCTTCCTCCCTCCACCTCAATTCCAGGGCAGAGAAAAAAAAAACACAACAAGGTTACCTCTTGTTTTAATGCTCAACCATTAAGCCTCACTGGCTGGGGTACTATTTTTAATTGTATTGCTTTATTTTTTAGAAAGATAACTGCTTCAAAGCTAGAAAAAAATATTGGGTGCCTATTGCTGCTCATCTACCTGTGTCTAGTACATGAGAAAACGAAACTTTGGTTTATTGACTTATTTCAACAATCTGTTGGTAAACTGACAAATGACACCTTTACTTCAGAGCATCTGTTAATAATTAATTTTATACATTTCTAGTGATTAATTTGCAATCATCTCTGTTTTGGCTGTCATACTCTGAATGGTATATTTGGACTGCAAAGCAGTTTCTATTCTGTCAGAAGTTATGAATAATGCTAACAAGTTAAGCTTGGTCAATAGATGGATCATAACTAATATCTCTATAGCCATTACATTTCTTTTCTTTGTTTTATGTTAGTTGAAGAGAGAGTGCTGATAGTGTCTGTGTGCTCCACAGGTGTGATAAAGAAATAAAAATTTCCTACACCGTGTACAACAGACTGTCGTTGCTGCTGAAGTCTCTCCTGGCTATAACGAGGGTGACACCGGCTTATAGACTCTCCAGGAAACAAGGACATGAATATGTCATATTATACAGGTAAACAGCTCACTCCTTAACTCACCGTCCGCCTCTTCACTTTGCACATTGTCTGATGGGCATTCAGGGATTATTTATATTCTGTGACAAATTTTTTAAAATATATTTTATTGATTTTACACAGAGAGGAATTGAGAGGGATAGAGAGTTAGAAACGTCGATGAGAGAGAAACATCGACCAACTGCCTCTTGCACACCCCCACTGGGGATGTGCCCGCAACCAAGGTACATGCCCTTGACCGGAATTGAACCCGGGACCTTTCAGTCCGCAGACTGACGCTCTATCCACTGAGCCAAACCAGTTTCAGCCAGTGATAAATTTTGAGTATATGGTTGGTTAGATAGTTGATGCTATAGCTTTACTATGACTATCTATCCATGTTTTCTTACGAACTCAGCTACCACATTCTTTGTCCTTTTGTTTGTGCACAGTCAGGATTCCTATGTATTGGATTTTGAGATTCTACTTACAGGACCTCAGAGCAGGGAAAGGAGTTTAAGATTTTAAAAAATAGACTATCCTGCCCTGGCTGGAGTGGTTCAGTTGGTTGAGTATTGCAATGAGGATGCCAATTTGATTCCAGGTCAAGTCACATGCCCAGAAGAGGGTGTGTGCAGGAGGCAGCTGATTGGTGTTTCTCTCTCATTGATGTTGCTCTCCTCCTCCTCCCTTTATCTAAAATCAATAACAGCCAAAACCTGTTTGGCTCAGTGGATGGAGCGTCGGTCTGCGGACTGAAGGGTCCCAGGTTTGATTCCGGTCAGGGGCATGTACCTTAGTTGCGGGCACATCCCCGGTGGGGGCTGTGCAGGAGGCAGCTGGTCAATGTTTCTCTCTCATTGATGTTTCTAGCTTTCTATCCCTCTCCCTTACTCTCTGTAAAAAATCAATAAAATACATTAAAAAAAAATAACATCAGTAACAATATTTTATAAAAATAACACACATAAAAACAGTCTATCCTGAGCAAATTCTAGCCTTTTATATTCTAGAATTAAAATAAAACTTTTTTCCTAACTAATTCAATTTTTTTAATTTTAATTTTTGACAATATAATTTTATTGATTTCAGAGAGGAAGGGAGGAGAAAAAAGATATAAACATCTATGAAGAGAGTGAATCATTGATTGGCTGCCTCCTACGGGGGATTGAGCCTGCAACCCACACATGTGCCCTTGACTGGAATCGAACCTGGGTTCTTTCCATTTCCAGGCCGATGCTCTATCCACTGAGCTAAACCGCCTAGGGCTGAGTGCTTTTTTAATGTAAGCATTGTCCTAGGTCCAAGGAAGAACTATACAGAGGCCCTGCACTATGGCTGTTTCTAATCTAATGGGGAAAACAGTTTAGTACATTATGAGTACATCGTGATTTAATAAAAAGCAGGACTTGAAAACTGCATAGCAGTCTCAGGAAAAAAGTACTGGCAGAACATAGAGAGGGAACATTTGTTCTGGCAGGGAGATATAAGACTGGCTTCATGGAGGAAATGGCCTTCAAGCTAGACCTTGAGGCATAGAGAATTTCAGCAGATAGAAGTGAGGGAGGTAATTGTTCCAGGTGGGGACTACAACAGATGCAAGGCATAGAAATGGGGGCGAGATATGAACTATATCACATAGTATGATGGACCACAGTGGTGGTGTAAGGTTATGTAAGAAAGTGAGAGCAGAGCATAGAAAGCCAGGAGTCCCAAATCATCCAAGACCTTTTTTCTTTTTATTTATTTTTCTTTTTAAATATATTTCATTGATTTTTTAGAGAGGAAGGGAGAGGGAGAGAGAGTTAGAAACATCGTTGAGAGAGAAACATCAATTAGCTGCCTCTTGCACACCCCCTACTGAAGATGTGCCTGCAACCAAGGTACATGTCCTTGACTGGAATCAAACCTGGGACTCTTGAGTCCGCAAGCCGATGCTCTATCCACTGAGCCAAATCGGTTAGGACAAGACCTTTTTTCATATTAATGACCAATCATTGGTTTTTAGCCTTTGGCTTACATGTATAGAATTGGTTTTGAAAAGAATTAGGATAGCAGGATGGAAAGACTAATGATTAGAGACTTAACTAGTTCTGTTGCAACAATATAGTGCCTGAGAATAGTTATTAAGTCAATTATAACTTTTTAGCATTAATCTAGCACCCTCCCATGTTTACTTTTCCAGGTAGGAGAGAAAGGGAAGAAGAAACTTATATATCAGCTGCCACTTAATTGTTCTTTTTCTTTCTCTTTTATTAATCCTTATCCGAGGATATTTTTTCCATTGATTTTTTTTTTTTAAGAGAGAGTGGGAGGGTGGGGCAAAGAGAGAGAGAGAATGAATCATCGGTATAAGAGACACACATTGATTGTTTCCCACGTGCACTGTGACTGGGGTCAAACCTGCAACCCAGGTACGTGACCTTGACTAGGAATTGAACCCACAACCCTTTGGTGTGTGGGCCGATGTGTGCCATGCCAGCCAAGGCTATTTTTCTCATTTTTTAACCAGTCCTCTCACCATATACACCCCCGTGGCCTGCAGGTTAATTAAGTAGTAGCATTATTGCTCCATTAGGAAAGGTGTTCTTGTAGATAAGAAACTAAAAGTTTATTTTATTTTGTTTCTAGGTGCTTGCTTTAGAGGCTATTAGAATAAAGAATCTGGTAACATATTTTTCTTTCTTCCTTGCAGGATATACTTTGGTGAAGTTCAGCTGAATGGCTTAGGAGAAGGTATGTATTAAGGTTGAAAAACATTTAGTGTTAAGAGCTCTCCTGACTTAAGAGATAGGCTTTGGTGCTGCCTGTAATAATATGCAGCTTATGATTTTAATATGTATGATCCAAGCAAGGAAAAGACAGGTATGTGCTTCCACGTGCCACTAGAGAATGAATAATTTCCCCAAAGTTCCAACAACTCAGTATTGTTTCTTATTCCTTATACAGTTGTCTATTTCCTGATTTTCTACAATGAGCGTGTTAAATGTTTCTGATAAGCATCAATTTTGAGAAATTGGAAATGAAACGGAAAATCAGGAAACAGCAAGGTCCAGGCTCGTTTCCATACTCAGTTCTGGCGTGGTAGCTTAAGTGGGAGTGCAGTTACTTCATACATTTCAGGTGTTGGTGACAAACTCCCGATGCCCTTTTGCTGTCTCATTGGGCATGTGTCAGTCCAGGCAGGATTTGTTAGGACTTGCTAAAGCTTTAGGATTAACAAGGTTTTACCTCTTTAAAGGTAGTTTTTTTCTGAAAATAGGGTGCTATTTCCCTTCCCAATATTTTTTTTTAAATATATTTCATTGATTTTGTACAGAGAGGAAGGGAGAGAGATAGAGTTAGAAACATCGATGAGAGAGAGTCATCGATCAGCTGCCTCTTGCACACCCCCTACTGGGGATATGCCCGCAACCAAGGTACATGCTCTTGACCGGAATCGAACCCGGGACCCTTCAGTCCCCAAGCCGACGCTCTATCCATTGAGCCAAACCGGTCCCGGCTTCCCTTCCCAATATTAGATCAATATAGAATTAATTGAAAGAAAAAATAACTCACACATGAAATTGAGGCACTCAGGGTGCTACTTGGATAATGCCAGAGATAATATAGGCTGAATGATTCAAGGAAAGAGACTAGGAGCAGTATCAGTATTCTCTGGGGAGGAAACTAATGATTTATCTCTTCTCCTAGGTTTCCAGACAGTTCGTGTTGGGACAGTGGGCACCCCTATGGGCACCATCACTCTTTCTTGCGCTTACAGAATTAACTTGGCATTCATGTCCACAAGGTAAGGAAAGAGCATTGGATTCCAAAAGAACTCTTTCAAAAATATTAATGTTTCTTTCGCCCGAACTCCATAGCTAAGCCTGCTGTTCAGCATTGCCATTGCTGAAATCAGTTCCCTTCTGAAGAATGAAATCAAGAGAGAGCCCAGTTTCATTGGAAAATCTTACTGTGTGTCCCAGAATCAACAATGTGGAGATGGTGGTTTATATTTTGGGATGCTATCGTTAAGGGTCTGGTGGTTCCTGCTAATCGATATTAGGTGAGGGGCCCTCTGAGGACTTCAAGGAGCTGGCAAGGCATTCTAACAAGTACTGCAATCTGCATATTGCGTTACAGGCAATTTGAGAGGACCCCACCTATCATGGGGATTATCATTGATCACTTTGTGGACCGTCCCTATCCCAGCTCCTCGCCCATGCACCCCTGCAATTACAGGTGAGGAATGTGAAAGGCACTTTCCCATACTGCAGCTAGCAGAAGCATCCATCTGGCACAGGTACACAGGGCACCTTTGTCAGCACTCACCGATGGGCCTGGGACACTGATGGAGATACCACATGGAGAGAAATGGAATGGCTAGCTTCCTTTTTTGCTGCTGCCTATAAGGTACACCCAAGCCTGGGGTATACAGAATGTCTCACAGAATTCTTGGACATGTTGAATCTTGACAGTAGTGATTTGACTTAGAGACAAGAGTAATTTGTGGAATGTCTTTTGCAAATCAAATGGTTTTCAGGTTATCATTGGCACAATTCAGTTATTCATGAGAATCAAGTATCTTCAGTTCCCAGAAAACAGTTCTAGAATTCTCTAGAGGTTGGGATAGATGAGTACTAGGAAGGATACTGTCTTTATGTGAAGGATTTCTGAAATTGGGTAAGTTTGTCTTTGGAGTCTAGACTTTGGTTTTACTGTAGTCTGTTGCTGACAGTTCTTTGATCCCAACACTGGCCAGGCTTAAGCAGATATTCTCAAATGACATGTCAAGAAAGATGTTTGGGTTATAAAAAAAAAAATTCATTGTCAACCTCTAGATGCTGTTCTCTGGAAAGTAAGTTAGGTACAAAAAAAAAGCTAATTTAATGTGTGTGAAGGACATTACAAAATCCACGGATCACCGTTAATTCTTTCTTTCTTTCTTTCTTTCTTTCTTTCTTTCTTTCTTTCTTTCTTTCTTTCTTTCTTTCTTTCTTTCTTTCTTTCTTTCTTTCTTTCTTTCTTTCTTTCTTTTTTAAATATATTTTATTGATTTTTTACAGAGAGGAAGGGAAATAGAGAGCCAGAAACGTCAATGAGAGAGAAACATCGACCAGTTGCCTCCTGCACACCCCCCACCAAGGATGTGCCCATAACCAATGTACATGCCCTTGACCGGAATCGAACCTGGGACCTTTCAGTCCACAGACAGACGCTCTATTGCTGAGCCAAACCGGTTTCGGCTCACCGTTATTTCTGTTGTTCCAATTTAGAGTTAAAGAGAGTCTTGTTATAAAGCTACCTATATGGGCCTGGCTGGCATGGTTCAGTGGTTGAGCATTGTCCTATGAACCAAGAGGTCAAGGTTCGAGTCCTGGTCAGGGCACATGCCTGGGTTGCAGGCTTAATCCCCAGTGTGGGGTATGCAGGAGGCAGCTGATCAGTAATTCTCTCTCATCATTTATGTTTCTATATTTCTCTCCTTCTCTCTTCCTCTCTAATAGCAATAAAAATATATATTAAGCCGAGACCGGTTTGGCTCAATGGATAAGAGCGTCGGCTTGGGGACTGAAGGGACCCGGGTTCGATTCTGGTCAAGGGCATGTACCTTAGTTGCGGGCATATCCCCAGTAGGGGGTGTGCAAGAGGCAGCTGATTGATGACTCTCATCAATGTTTCTAACTCTCTATCTCTTTCACTTTCTCTCGGTACAAAATCAATAAAATATATTTAAAAACTTAATATATATATTAAATAATCATAAAAATATAAAGTTACCTAGACGGTTTGGTTTGAAATTATGAAGGACTTAGCAGAGCTCTCTTGTTGAACTCTTATGAACTCGGACAAAAACAAACTTGCATCTCTTCGTGTCCTTTCTAAAATCGACTGCCATCCCCATAATATGCATGATTTCCTTTCTCCTCACTATAGAACTGCTGGTGAGGACACTGGAGTAACATATCCTTCTGTGGAAGATTCTCAAGAAGTGTGTACCACCTCTTTCTCCACCTCACCTCCATCCCAGGTAGGAGGAACAGATTCTGGGGGGTGGTAGTTATTTGGCACATATGGGCCTAAGGAAATGGTGTCAAAATTTAGAGAGGTTTTGGTGGTGGTGGTGATTGTTTCAAGGGGTTCTTTTAAACGGTGAAGAAGAGCCTTCTTATCCAGCAGGTAATATTGCAGTAACCATTCTTAACCCATAGTACATGTAACCTTCCCTTCCCGGGGACATCTTAAAATTCCCTAGAAAAATCAGTCCCAGAATTCCCTATGCATTCTCATGCCAGAGAGATACTCTAACCTCCCCTTGTTAATTTGGAGCTACTTCTCGTTTGAAGTGGTAAATATGGTTCCCAATAACAGACAAAGCACATAAGGAGCCAATAATTATTTAACGTATTTTAGCATTTTGCCAGTTACTTTTTCTTTTAATTTTTTAAATTTATAAAATGTTTTATTGAATTCAGAGAGAGGGAAGGAGAGGGAAAGAAACACCAATATGATAAGAGAGCATCATTGATCAGCTGCCTCTCCTGCATACCCCCTATTGGGGATCCAGCTGGCAACCCAAGCATGCGCCCTGACTGGGAATCGAACTGCAATGGGTCAGTGCTCAACCACTGAGTCACACCAGCCTGGCAGTGCAGTTTTTCTTAATAGTTGAAACAGACTTTTGCCTATTTGCATTTTCTATCTGAACATTTTTAACCATTTACTTTTCCACTTGAGTCCATCTTCAGTGACAAATTGAATTTCAATAAAACAAAGGCTCGAAACAGTGTTCTCAGATTCCCAAGAGGAAGCACCTGTGTGGACTGAGACTGCTTCCGCTAAGGAATCCTTTTTGCCAGCTGACTGAATTTCAGGGCACATTTCTTTCCTTCCATCCCAAGTCTTTCATTTTCTGCCTCATGCATTGCCTGCAGATCCCTGCTTTGTCTGCCCAGCATCTCTATTCCGTATCATTTGACTTTCACATTAGGCAGTTTCTTCTAGACCATTCAGTTCTACTTTCCTTTAAACCGGGCCCAGATAATCACCATCTTATTTTGGGGACCCAGCAAATTAATTTAGCTATCCATAAATGTTTATTTTCTTTGGTTTTTAAATTAAGAAAAAATTTAATTTCATTCCATCTTGGGTTGTTAGGAGATAGTGAATTAGAATTATGTTTCTAAGCTGTTTCAGAGGTAGAAGTTAGGCACAAAAGCTAATTTAATGTGTGTGAAGGACATTACAGAATCCACGAGTCACTTATTTCTATTGACCCAACTTAGAGTTAAAGAGGGGCCTTATTATAAGGTTGCCTAGACAATTGGTTTGGGGATATTATTCTTCTCTCCACACCAATCTGTAGGCATGAGTGCTCTGAGGGTAGCTTCTGGCATGCTTACTGACATAGAGCAATACTGACATAGGAGGGAAAGCCCACTTTCTTAGTGTATGTTAATGGAAGGAGATTACTTTAGATAATGAAATGTCAAGTTTAATGTTCTTTGAAGTTTAGATATGTCAAGTTTAATGTTCTTTGAAGTTTTGTTTTATAATTGATACATTCATAAACAATCAAGTTGTGACTTGGGAGATATGAGGGATGGTGAAGCTGGGCCTGAACAAATCAGTTTGTCTGTGTGATAGAGAGGGAATTTCACCCAGCTCCGAAAATAAAGGGAAGTTAAATCTTTTCTGCATGGGAAGTTTGCATAAAAGTTTGTTGACCTGAGTAAGGAGAACCTATCTTTTTTCGTGGTATCAGTTGGCTGTTGTGACTGTCACAGTTTAAAAGTAGATCACATCAAGATCTTATCAATACTGAGCACTCCATGCTTGAGTCCTATTCCTATCCCTGAATACCGCTAATCAAGGTTGGTACAATTTGGTGTAGAAATACTCATTTTGAACAGAGAGAGAGAGAAAAATCATTTGCCATCAGATTTCCTCATTCCTTTAATACTGTCTTCCTTGGTTTAACTTAGGGAATTGCATAGTTGTTCAACAACTTCTATTTGAGCTTTTGCTAGAGTCCAATAAATGCATGTTAATGTATGTTTGTTTCACCAACATAATAAGGATCATATTGTCATTTTAGTCAAGTTAGCTGTTGTGATCCTGAACCTGCTATTGTGACTTAAGGTCCTACTTTCAATTCTAAGCATTAGTTAGGTAGTTGGTGAGACTTATTAAAGATGGAAAAGCAAAACCCAAAAATAAGAATAAGAATACACGCACACACACACACACACACACACTCAGCTCTATGCCTACATTTGCACTCTAACTCATCTTCCCTGGAATGATTGATGTTGGAAAGTGCTGCTGGGTACCTGGGTATTTTAAAGTTCCAGTCAACAAAAGGTCAACTTTTTATTTTCCCCTAAAGGTCAACTTTTTAAACCTGTCTCTGAAAATTCTGAGTCCCCAGAAAAAGTCATTCTACCATTTAAAAAAAAATATATATTTTATTGATTTTGTACAGAGAGGAAGGGAGAGAGATAGAGAATCAGAAACATCAATGAGAGTGTCATCGATCAGCTGCCTCTTGCACACCCCCTATTGGGGATATGCCCGCAACCAAGGTACATGCCCTCGACCGGAATCGAACCCGGGACCCCTCAGTCCCCAGCCAACGCTCTATCCATTGAGCCAAACCGGTCTCGGCCATTCTACCATTTTTAACCTGTTTCCTCATTCACCCTGAGAACACCTTTTGGCTGCTCTTGGGCCCTTCCTGTTGGCAGCCATTCTCTAACATCCTCCCATCCTCTTGAATAAAGACGGACTAACGCTTGGTTCAGGGTTTTCTGTTTTGCCAAGTCATTCCAGCTTGACTCAGCTGTGTTTTCCACTTGCTCATCAGGGAGACACGCATGCAGTGGAGCACCCTGGGATACACATCTCAGACGCTTCCTTTGGGAAGGCAGTCACACAGCGCTCTCCCCGCTACACGCCTGACCTCCATTGTGCATTTTAGCCTCTGTTGCTACGGCCACTTTGCAGTTTTTTCACTTCTTTTCTCAAGTCCCTTTTCTTTTTTCTTCTCTTGTTTCTCCTGTCTCTGTTTGTATCTGTGCACAGTGTGTGTTTACTGTTACAAAGGCACATTTTCAGACCCCTCCTCCTGTGGTGACGGATACCCTGAGGGTCCCCATGGCAGGACTGGCCTTTTCCCATCAAGTGAGTCCACTGGGAAGAAGGGGATAAATTAGATGGCATCTTTTTATTTAAAAACTGTAAATAAAGTACAGGATATCGCTACTTAAATGTCCCCAAGTGTTCTATGGGTTATTTTGAGGCTTGGTAATTGATTTTTAACAGGACATAACCATAGCAAGAGCAGCCCAAAATAGGGTTTTTTCAGTTGCCCCTCCCAATGATGTGAAAAATACATGGAGTTATTTATATCTTCTTTTCAAATAAACAATCCAAGAGCGGTATTCTTTCTTTTTCAACAAAAATAGGATCCCTCCCATGCCCAGAGGTGAGGGAGGGTGTGATTAGAGAGACGCCTTCTGTTCCAAAGGGACCCCAAGGACGAAGGAGAAAATAGAATGACCTGAGAAAAACTGATGACTTTGGCTCCAAGTTCTGCCCCAGCTTGTGCTCCACAGACCTGCTGGGCTGGACACAGAAACAGGGAGCTGAGAAAAGGGTGTGGCAAGGAGTCATTGAGGCCTTTGTAAGGCTACAGAGCTTGGAACCTCAGTCCACTGCAAACAAGTCTGGTTGTTTGTTTTTTTTTCATCTAAAAAGAAATGTCCTGGTCTGTCCTTAACCATTACATCAGGCCCCTCGTATCCCGAGGATGTAGGCTGGGATCCATTCCTTCCCTTTCTTCTGATCTTGATCATTAGTCATACTCCAGGATCGCCTGTTTTTCCCTCCTCTTTTCCTCTGCCCTTCTTTGTTTTTCTCTTGCTTAGCTCTCAAGCTCTCGCCTTTCCTATCAGCCTGCTGCCCTGGGCGTTGGATCAGCTGACCTGGCTTATCCAGTAGTGTTCGCAGCTGGCTCAACCACCACACACCCTCAGCAGGTATCTTTAAAGATGGGGCAGACCCGGGAGTTCCCCTGCTGCCTCCCTGCCTGGGGCAGTTGAGGGGCCTCTTGAGATACAAGTTTCATTCTTTTAAGTGTTTGGAGGCAAAGCTCTCCTGTGACTTTGGAGAACTAATGTGACTCTGAGAGGAAGGGGCCTCTTAAACTTCAGAACAGAAAGAAGAGCTTCCCCCCCTTTCCTTTTCCTTCTGTAGTCAATGCCGTGCATGTGTCCCTTTAACTGAGTCCCAGGGAGGATAGAGAGGCAAGGTTTCCTGCTCAGTAGATGGCAGCATTGGTGATGGAGAAACTCAAACACAGATACTATCCTGGTAGGCCATGGGGCCGAGGCCGCCACAATTCACTAGTTTTTTTTTTTTTTTTTTTCATTTTCTCCTAAAGCTCATGGTTCCAGGGAAGGAAGGTGGGGTACCTCTTGCTCCCAACCAGCCTGCCCACGGTGCCCAGGCTGATCAGGAGAGATTGGCAACCTACACCCCTTCTGATGGGGCCCACTGTGCTGCCACACCTTCTAGCAGGTGAGTGCCTGTCTTGGCTCTGCTGATGCTCAGGCCAGGGAGGGGCGGGTCTTCTCTGAAACGCGCTTATTTGTTATTGGTAGAAAGTGGCTTTCAGCATTGGCTCAGGCTTGGCTCCTGGGCCCCAAGTATGCATTTCTTTAAGTTCCCGATTAGAATGTTATATTGCTGCTGGTATGGAAGGAAGCTGGCCAGGCTTCACTACTAACAGTAAACAGCAGGGGCGTGGCTCTTACCACCTTCATCCAGTGAGGGGGGTTTCCAGATGTTTTTTTCTTTTACCCAAGATTTATTTTTCGGTCTTCATTGTTTCCTGAGGACCAGACAGGGTGTTTACTGTGAATCTGAGCCCTGGTGGCATCTGTGATGGTGGTCTTTTTCTGCTGTGTGAGTGCTTCATGGAGATCACTTAGAAAACTATTTTTTTCTCACTATTTTTTAAAAAATATTTTGTCTTTTTTCAGTTGCAGAAGTTGATACATTCTATGAAATTTAAATGATACATTGGTTAGGTAGGAAGTGAAAGTTTTCATAATCCCACCTTACAAAGATCACCACTGTTACCTTCTTTGACAAGAGGAGAGGATTTCAGAAGAATTAAGTAATTTGCCTCAGAGCAGTTAGCTTTCAGGGTGGCCGGCACAAGTCCCGCTGGGCTCCTCGGACTCCAGTCCTGCTCACTCTTTCCATGACACGCGGAGCTCTCCCGGGGAAGATGGGGCTGTCTAGATGTGACCTGCCCCCCCTTCACTGGAAGTCCCCAGAGGTAATGACGTTGATTGCCCTGCCACATCCTAAGTGAACTTCTGGATAATAGAAATTCCTGGGTTTTGTTTTGTTTTTCTCATTCCGATGGTGGAATGGTGGGAAGGGAATTGTTTGGGAAGGTCAAATTTTTGCACCATCCATCAGGAAAAAATGATTACTTTCATTCCTGACTTCCATTTCCTATCCCCCCGCCTGATAGATAACCAAAGGAAGATCCTATTAGTCCTTTTACACTCTCGTTTTTTGAGCTTCGACTCCTGGGATGACAGACAGGACCCTTGTACAGGAGGTTCTTAAATGCAGAGCACAGGCCTTTCCCAAGACCTCCTGTTGGCTGGAGCCGAGGCCACTTGGAGTTTACAGCCCTCACCCCACCTTGAGCCCCTGCTTTTGGCCAAAGAGCTTTCCGAGCCTCTGCTGCTCGCAGGGCTGCGGCTGCTGGTCTGGCAGCCACAACACGGGCCCTTGTTTCTCAGCTTGGAGCGCCCTCTCATCCAGAACCCAGCGTTAGACTGGAGACAGGGTTGAATTATACATTCAACCCTGGGTCCTGGATGAGAGGGGTCAGTGGGAACAGCGATACTGAATGTGTCCTTGACCAGAGGGATGTTTAGGGATGTGAGGAAAGGGCAGGATAAAGAGCACGGAGGATCCCAGCCCCAGCCATTGGTCATGGGTTAAAAAGCTCTGGCTCTATAGACTGTTAAATTTGGGACTCTTGACTTGGAATAACGTGGTAAGGTTTAAATTTCAACGTTGTACTGTACCATCTTATTGCATTTTTAGATAACTAAGCACAACAAAAATGAGATGAAAAGCAGCTAAAATCTTGAGTCTGTCTCTGTAATTAATTAATTACAATTTGGGGGAGCTGCCTGCCTGTATGTGTGATTGCTACATGCATGGTGACTGAAGCTTACTGGTATTTCATAGAAGCTTTACTTGATTGTAACACTGAATTTTGTTCACATGTGCATAGTTTTAGTTGTTCCAGGAAATGTGTGCCTCTGCTCTCAGTAGAGGGCAGGGTGACAGCGGCAGCAGCCAGACCACACAGTGCTGTGTCCCGTCCCACCCCCCAGGCTGCAGCCCACAGAGGGCGAACATGGGGAATCAAGAAGGCTCTGCTGTGGGTTGGGAATGAGTACCAACATTACATTTCTTTTCCAGCGAGGACACTGAAACTGTGTCGAACAGTAGTGAGGGACGGGCCTCTCCCCATGATGTCTTGGAGACCATCTTTGCCCGAAAAGTGGGGGCTTTTGTCAACAAACCCATCAATCAGGTGATTTTTCTTCCATTGGCACCTGTGAGCCACGTCTGAGTGAGGGTCTCAAGTGGGTCTCTTAACTTGGATTTGTGCAGCCACTGACATTGTGTTTGGAATGTGTGTGTGTGTGTGTGCGTGAGTTTTTGTGAAGGGTGTTAGTAACCTGTGAGACCTCCAGAAGTGAAGGACTGTTTGTTGGAGGCGGTAGGAATGGCTCCAGTTGTCTGACTGATGATGTAAGACCAAACCTGGGTTCAATAACCTTGGTACTTGGATTCTGGCTAGGAAAGACTTCAGAGCCAAGACCCCAAACTATAGGAGAACATTTATTGGGTAAATTACAGAGGTAGAAAATAGTTCTTAGTAGAAATGGGCTCAGGAAACAAATTATGGAGATAAAGGAAGGGCCCTTGGAGCGTGGGAGTGAGGAAGCTAATGGTAAGGTGCGTGGGGGGCTGAGGAGAAAGGGAAAAGCCCCAGTGGCTGTGCAACAAGTTCCTTCAGTCCTAAGAGTTGTAAGGGTGGAGATTTTAGGGGAGGTCCCAGGGGAAGATCTCAATGGAATATTCAGTAGCTTTCAGGTGTGTCCATTCAGGGTAAGGGGGCCTTTTTTTTTTTTTTAATATATTTTATTGACTTTAGAGAGGAAGGGAGAGGGAGAGAAACATCAATGATGAGAGAGAATCATTGATTGCTGCCTCTTGCATGCTTCCTGCTGGGGATCAAGCCCACTACCCAGGCATGTGCCCTTACCAGGAATCTTTAACCCTGACCTCCTGGTTCATAGCTTGGTGCTCTACCATTGAGCCACACTGGGCAGGGGCGCGTGTCATTATTCAATGATCCCCCTTCCTCTGTGGCTGGTTTTGTTGCTTATCTGAACCTGGAGCTGATAAACAGCTGAGGCCTAGATATTATCTCTAGGGAGGAAAGGTCAGGGGGTTAAACCTCCAGACCAGACCAGACCAGACCAGAACAGTGATGTGCTAGGGGAGGAAAAGTCACTTTTCCTCCCCTAGCACATCAGCAAATGTAGGGGGTAAGGGTCCTCCCCTACATTTGATTGTCCCTTGCTAGGTACCTGGGGCTTTCCACCCTTATGACCTTCTGAACATGGTTTATCATCCCTCCTCTGCTCACTGTCCATCTAAAACTTCCTACAACATATTGTTCTGTGAACTTTTAAGCCTCCCATAGTAGAGGGAGGCTGGACACCATTCAGTACAAACACTGCACTGAAGTATCTGGCTCTGAAACTGGACAACCATTGTTCCCAGATGCCTGTCACTACTTGCATCAGTTAAGTGGAGACAGGGTTGAATTATACATGAGCATTTATTCCAATAATGCTAACGGTATTGGGGAGCAGCAGGTCATCGACGAAAATCTGCTCTGCCTCCCCTCACCCCCTTTTAAGTCAGCTGGGTTATATTGGGTGGGACAAAGATTATTATGGGCAAAAGGAATAAGAGTGAGTGTGCAAGGGTATGACCAGTGTGGGGAAATAGGCAAAACAAGGTGGGGCGGGACTAGTTGTTTGGGCAACAAGGTTGTTAATCTTTTCATGATAATAGGCAGTTCTTCAATGAGAATGGACTGCATTCCAGAGTTGACTCCCTGGGACAAGGTCAACTCCCAGTCCCAGGGCCTACAACTCCCAACCAGATTAGAATGTGCTTTCTTTAATCAGAACAAAACAATCACAGTAAACAGAGCTTGCTTAATATTTCTTATTTTATTTCTTACTAGAGGTCTGGTTCTTGAAATACATGAACACACTGGGGAGGTGGGAGGGGTGCTAAGGAGAAGGGGGAAGCGCGGGTCCCTCAGCCCTGCCTGGGCCCTCTCACAGTCTGGGAGCCCTTGGGGAGCAGGCCTAAGCTGTCAGTCAGATATCCTTAGTGCTGTCATGGAGGCGAGAGAGGCTTCCATCACCACTGCTGGCCGCTGCATTTGCCTGCAGTGAGCCTGGCTTCTGGCTGAGTGGCTCTCCTCCTGTGGGAGCGCACAGACTACCAGGGGACAGCTCCTGCATTGAGCGTTTGCCCCCTGATGGTCAGTGCACATCATAGCTACCAGTAATCCGTGGCTCTGTCAATTTGCATATTAGCCTTTTATTATATAGGATAACTAAAACTAGTCCCTGATATTCTATCTCTGTCTTTAACACCTCAGCCTAACTTAGTAGGAAGTTCCTTTTTGGCTCTGTCATTGAACAGTTATCACTGAGTTACTGTGGGTCAAGCTTCCAAAGCTGATGTCCTAAGGTTTTGGGAAGCCCTAACCCCTGCTTATGCTGTGGGCCTGTGATGGGAGGTGGTGGAAATTGGAGGATTTCCAACATGAGCCTGAGGGGTAGTGTGGTCAACCTGGTGCAAACCTGCAGGCCTCCAGGCTTCTGGCAGCTTCTAGGGAAACATGGAAGCTGGGTGAGGGGCAGGCACTAATACTTTCTCTGGTGTTTTTTCAGGTGACATTGACGAGTTTGGACATACCCTTTGCCATGTTTGCTCCCAAGAATTTAGAACTGGAGGATGCTGATCCCATGGTGAGTCTAAAATTTCCAGTGAGATAGTATGGAGTCATTATCCTTCCTGGGCACACCACCATTCCCAGACCATCAGCCCTGCCCGAGTCAGCATTGCTCTCTTATACAACCCTCCATTGTTTAGAGTTACTTTGCCCCAGTGCACAGAACCAGCCCCTTCCTCTGCTTTGTCCTTAACCAGGTGAATCCTCCAGATTCCCCAGAGACTGAGTCTCCTCTCCAGGGCAGCCTGCACTCTGATGGCTCCAGCGGTGGCAGCAGTGGCAACACCCATGATGACTTTGTCATGATTGACTTCGTAAGTTGCCTTCACCTTCCTTGACCTTTGCTGCCAAAGGGGAAATGAACCCAGAGACATCCTTTGCACTCTAAGGGGACCTCCTTCACAGGGAGCAGATGGGCCCCCGCCGGGCAGTGTATGTGGGAACACACATAGCCTGCTTGAGGACGATAGGAGGCCAAAGAACAAGAAAGCATTTTGTGCCATGTCTTTGACTGACATGCAATTCAGCTCTACATGGAGATTTCCCAATAGGTTCTACTCATGCCTGAATGGATAGCCCTGTGCTAGGAAAGGAATTTAATGGAAGGTGACATAGCCCTAACCGGGGAAGGGGAAAGGTAGCAGGATTGGAAGTTAGTTGTCCAGAAGAGATAAGTTGTGGGACTTCTCCCTATAAGATAAACCTGGAGCAGACTTCTCTTTGATAATTTACTGGGAGGAAAGAGGGTTGTTCATCTCTGATTTTCCTCTATGGTCTGTGGTAAGCTAAATTGAGTCTGTTTTGTTTTGTTTTGTTTTGTTTTGTTTTTAAGAAACCGGCATTTTCTAAAGATGACATTCTTCCGATGGACTTGGGGACCTTCTATCGTGAATTTCAGAACCCCCCTCAGCTGAGCAGCCTCTCCATCGATATTGGGGCACAGTCCATGGCTGAAGACTTGGTATGGAAACCTCTTCCCCGACCCCATTTCATCCTCTGACCTTCCTTCTGCTCCACAGACCTGAACGTTTCTTCCTGTTATTACCCCCTCTCCCACACCTCCCATCTTCCCTGTGATAGGAAAGAGACTGTTAGACATTATCCTCTTTTTTTTTTCTTCTTCATTATCTTCTTTTGATTGCACTTGAGATTTGCATTATGCCCGGCAGTCATTATCTTGAATTTGCTTGCACACACTTCCTCGTTTGCAGGGGCTCAGCATTTCTTACACACTCCTGTTCCGAGATGGGTGTCTTCTTGCTGATGCCACTGAGCCAAGCTGCTCCAATAGCTCTCACCTTCAGCTGTTCAGCTTGCCAGGCAGATGCCAGGTGAACAGGGCAGAAGATTCCTAAGGTCCTGAGCACTGGTGCTCTTGCTCTCTCCTTAGCCATTCCTCAGTTAACAGTGCCTCTGTTTAGCCCGATGTCCTGATACTGTCATTACCACATCTGACTTAGAGATTCTGTTTCCTGCCTTGCAATGCGGGGGAGTGCCCTGGACAGCCACAAGCTTTGGGTGTCCGGTGCCACGAGATGTCAGGGTCCCTCTGCCTGAAGTGGGATATCTTCAACATTGAAATTACAGGGGTGACTCTAGAATAGGAATCTAGGAATTGCTAAAGAAAAACGTAGTAATAACAATGCAGTTATAATGTAATTATTATTAACATTTATCAAGGCTTTCTAGGTGCCAAGCATTTCTGTAAGTGCCTTATACCATTCTTCAGCAACCTGAGAGGTAGGTTGTCTTATCTCATTTTACAGATGAGAAAACTGACACTGTGACCAAATGACTTGCTCACAGCCAGATAGAGCTTGCAAAACAAAGCTTTGATCCTAGAGAGTCTGGCTTCTGATTTTAGCCAGTGGAACCCGTGCCCACACTGGAAATGTGGTGGGAGGGTAGGAACTGTCCGGGAAGCCTCTCAAAGTGGTGTTGCAGCCAGTCCTTCCAAAGCTGCCCGGGCTGTCCGGTGTGTCTGGGCCACTTTATAAATTCTGAGGTAGGAGATTGTCCCACCTCTTCCAGGTGCCTGGTGCCGGTCCGGAAATCTGTAATCATTTAAACTCTTCACATGCAAATTCTTCAATGGAGATAGACCACGGGATTAGGGTCAGATTATTATTATTATTTTTTTAAATAGTTGATACCTTCGGACAGTTAAATTTAACTCCTCTTGGCTCTATTTTCACTTTTATTCTCTTCCAACCCTCTCTAACCCACCCCTCCTCTGCTGGTGTCAAGATGCAGGTGCCTAGGCCTCACCGCAGACCTGCTGAGTCGGAGTCCGTTAGGAGTGTGATGGGACTGTCTTGTTCACGTGACCCAGGGCATTTTGATGTCCTGCACAGCGTGTGAAAAACCTTTAGTAAATCTTCCTTAATTTTGAGCACTGTAAACCGTCCAATTCTAGTATCAGTCTAATCTGTGCCAAAGATATTTCATGTTTAATTTCTGTCATCCTAGGGGTGGTGTGGTCCTTTTTCTATACTAAGTGTGGGGCCACCTTGATTCCCTAGGCTGTTGTGCCCACAGAACCCCGAAGCCCTTTGTTCGCTGCCTGCTCTGTCGCCCTGAATCCTGCTCTCCTGGCCCAGCACTGCTGCACGGTGCCCCCTTCCTCAGCCCAGGCCTCCCTGAATGAGCAGCTCTTCTCTCCCCTTCTGGCGCAGGACTCGCTACCAGAGAAGCTGGCTGTGCACGAGAAGAATGTCCGAGAGTTCGATGCCTTTGTGGAAACTCTGCAGTAAAAGCTGGTGTCCTCGAGTTCCAGCAGCCTCCCCTTTTTGTGGTCCCGGAGACAGAGCCTCCCGTTCATCAGCTGTTCCCATTCCTCGTCCTGCTCCGAGCCGGTGGAGGAGAGGCTGGTTTTCCCCCATGGGGACCCCGAAGTCCCTGCTCTTGCCCCTCCTGGAGATTTCATGGCAGTGGTCAGGCCCCGTGAGAGCATGTATGAGGACTCAGCCTCTGGCCTTGGAGATGGGGAGACTCTCTGTGACAAAAGGGCCGTCTGCAGGGCCTGCTGCTTCTGTTCACAAAGGCGGCCCCTCGTTCTCCTGCAACTGGCCCTCGCCTGTCGCCGTTACCACCAACCATTTGACATTCCAGCTGGTGGCCCAGAGATTGGTGTGGAGGCAGAGAGGGGAAGGAGGCAGTGCTGGGAGGAAGGACGGGCTCCTCAGGCTCTGTGTCTCCTTTGGTTCTGGTATCTCCCTCTCTCCCTCCTTCTGCCCCTGCACTTTTGGCAATATGACAGGCCTTCTGCCCAAGATGAGAACTCGCAAGTCAGCCATTCCCACCCTGGAAGGTTGTGCCATCCCGAGCAGAGGGTCTGAGCAGCCCTGGCGGCTGCCTGTGCTCAGCCCCTCGGCTACATGGAAACCAAATCCTGTGTCTCTAGGGTTGGAGTCACAGCAGTTCTCTTCCCTTCCCTCCCCTGTTGCTGCTCCTTGGTTATAGAATATGGTATATGGTAAATATTTATTACTTTCAGAGAAGTCAGATATTTTATAGAGAATTATGTTTGAGGTTAGATGTTTTCTCTTGGGGAAAGTGAAGGGCCTCTTCCTGGGGCGGGGCCTGTTCCTGGGGAGGTTCCCCAGATTCCAGGGTGCTGCCCTGGGGGTCTTCCTTCCCACATACAGAAGGGGGAGCCAAGAACAGGGCTGGTGAGGGCAGCACACTTCCCAGACTTGCTGCATTTGCACTGACAGCAGGCTTTGCCTTGGACACCTGCATGTTCCCGGTGAGAGCCTGGGATCTCCCATAGCGCCTTCAGAGACTGGCCTGTTCTGGCAGCCGAGGAAGCCGTGTGCGCTGTATGTGGTGACCTCTGGAGCTGTGCTGCACATTGTGCCCAAGGGCATCACGTGGTGGGCTGGGGAAGTCCAGACAGCCCCTCCTGGGCACTTGCTTCTGTTTCTCAGGGCTGCGTTAGGGGCCCTTTTCCTCCTTTCACCTGGGCCTGGCCACCCCCCTCCTTTAATCCCACGGTCTGTTCCCCGCCCTGAGGTTTCCTGGCTCCTGGTTGAGTTACTAAAGCTGGCACATGGTTGACTTACCCCTTCAGGTATTGTTACTTGGACAAGTCAAGTGCCTGGCCTCACCCTAGGCTGTCCCTCTCCCAGCCTAACTGGTAGTCTTGGCCGTGGAAACCTAGGCTGCCCCTTTCCTCCTGACCCACCAGGGGTATTCATGGGCAGCAGCTGGAGCACATGGCCCTCAGGTGCTTGTAGTAAATGCATGTGATACTGTTCTCACTGACAGCTGATCTCTGAGGGCTCGAGTGGGCTCTGACGCTGTCTCCGTGAGCCTGAGCATTGCCCCTGCGCCTGTTTTCTCTGCCACAAAGAAATGCTCCCAGCAGTGGTGTCCAACTTGGGCCAGAGCACACTCAGGGCCTGCTAAACAATCCACAGCCCAGTGTATTGTCCTCACGGCCCAGTGCTGAGAAGGGTGGAGGCCCATTGCAAGCTATCTCTTGCCTTCCTCCCCAACCCGCCCCAGTGTCTCAGCCACTGCCCTTTTGAGGCCAAGTGTGGAAGGTCCTGAGTGCACAGACTGAGTCAGAGCCTTTGGCCTTGATGTTCTAACTGTTGGCCTGTGTGGGCAGCAACCTTTCTTCAGGACCCCATCAGTGAGAGACCATGGAGGCTGAGCCAGGGAGGAGCAGAGCAACGGTCAAGGCTGGCCCTTGCCCCTCAGCCCTGAACAATGAAAGGTATGAGCCTAGACTGACTTCTGCAGCACAGGGGTTGGGGCTGGGACCAGTCATGTGTCTCCAGGGGGCAGAGTCCCTCCCCTCCTCCAGCTACCTTATTTGGAAATACTGAGTTATACTTAAAATGTATTCAAGAGATTTCCAATAAAATTTTTTCTGTACTTTACAGCTTCTTATACTGCAAGTTGTTTAAAATCCTAGCCCCACTGCCTCCCACTTCTGTGCAGGCCACGGTCAACCACAGGCTCCACGGGAGGGGAAGAATGGTGCCATGTAACGCTCAGAGAGGCTTCTCGGTCACAGCTCTTTGACTCTGGGCATGTGGCCACCTATCGGCTGTACAAGCTTGGGCTGGTCAGGAAAGTCTTAGAGCCTCCTTTTCCTGGGTTGTAATGTTCCGATTTCAGGGCTTTTATGTGAATATCCAGTGAGATGTGCATATTAAGCACACCCACAGTAGAATCTCCATAAAATGTAGGCCAGTCTCATCAGCTCTATTCCCCCTGTTCACCATGCAGCCTGGCCTGGAGGCAATGGCTGGCTTCTGGCTAGAAGGGAAAGACAACACACAGTCTTTCACGTTTCTAGTAGAAGCCAGCAAGGGGTGTGGGGCTCCCCACGCTGCCTGGGGTCTGTTTGCTGGTCAGGGTGCGGGGATGTGGGTGAGTGAACCAGACTGAAGGGGTTGGATGAGGAGCAGGGAGTCGAGGTCCCATGCCAGTTTGTGGAGCTGCCCGGGCACTGGGAGGGACTCTTTGGGGATTATTCCTGTCTGGCCCCCTGGAGACTAATGCAGCAGGCATCTCAGCCCTGGCCAGGCGGCCCTCCTGCCTCCCAGAAGGGAGCTGGAGTGGAGCCAGTGTCCCAGAGGCAGAGGTAGTTCTAGTGGCAAGACACCAACTGCCTGACAGACCTTGGCAACTGCTGCCTGGGTTGCCTCCAAAGCCTTTCAGGCTGAAGGCAGGCCCAGGACAGAAAAGGGCTAGTTAGAAAATCCTAATTGCAGCCCAAACCAGGGGCTGAAAAGAATGGGGCCTTCCCACTGTAATAGGCTGGGGGAGCCCTTGCTTGTTTGTAAACTGCACACAACACGAACCATGGTGCCTGACCATGCAGCCAATCAGGATAGACATGGCGAACTTTCCCTGGTGACCTGACCTTCAATTGGGAGCCTCCAAAAGCAAAGTGTTCAGTGTCCCTGGGTCTGAAAATCTTGTCCTACTCCTTTAAAGCATATCCCTACAATCCATCCCGAGACCTGTTGTTGCTAAGGCAAAGGTAAACCGGCTTTTGAGTCACTCAGCAGAGACCTTGCCAGGAGCCCAACCCAAGTAAACAGCAGCTTTCTCCGTCTCCTGCTCCCCTCCTCGTTGCCCTGGGTCACATCCCCTGTGTTCTAAACAGTCACCCAGCTCAGAGTGGAGGAGAGCCACTGAGAAAGGCTGCCTGTGCCTTCTGTTCAGTTACCTGGACGAGGGCCACGGTGTGCAACAGGACAGCTTCCTGGAGCTCAGTGCCAGTGTTTATAACCACCAATCCTGACAATGTGGCTTGATCCTGCAGCTCTGGCCCAGCTCCCCCAGCCCAAGCAAGCAATGACGAGTAAACAGAACAGGCCCAGCTGAGGCCACACCGCCTCCTGATTGCTACTGGCAGGCAAACAGCTAACTGTTGGAACATGACCTTGACCACTGTGCCAAGGGAAATTCTGACCTGCCCTCATAGTAACAAACCACTTTTTAGAAAATTGCAGTAAAATACGCATAAATGTTACCATCTTAACCTCTAAAGCAAAGCAAAACCCTAAGAGGAAAGGAAAACGGGGCCTCCCATGACTCCATGTAAGTACATGGCAGGTGGAAGCGAGGCTCAGGGGAGAGGGGGGTGGTCCGGTGAGGGCTACAGTCCCAGCTGCTGCACAGGTTGGGAATGGCGCTTTGTTCACTGGGAAATGATGGTCAACTAGTTACCATGGGGCACTGTACTGCACACATTATTTCTGGTCCTCAGGTGAGGGAATGGTCTCAGAGGTGGGGCCAATTTTACAACTATCACCAGTGAGAGCTGTGGCAAGTGATAGAATGAAGATTCAAACCCTAAGTCTAAAACCCAGGATGTTGTCCACCAAAGTCCACACCATATAGGGGACAGAAGAGTCCTCAGCCAGAGGTTACTCACATGGCGGCTAGTTGGAATGCTGCAGGTGCTGACACTGGAAGGTGACCATTCTCAGCCTGGAAGACGGACTCAAACTCAGAAAGCTGGCCTCATACCCACCACAAGTGAACCAGAGGAGTAAGGGGACCAGACGGACTAGGCAGGACTTCCTGAGGCCCCATCTACTCTTCTGCTGCCACAGGCTTCCCACCCAGTTCAGAAACTCCATGTCCACTTCTTTAATAGTCAGATGGGCAGTTTCCATCTCCATTTTTATTGAAATACAAAAAGTGCAGAGGTGAAATACATGATTGATGCCAAGGAATTCATAAAGTGTGAATGTGTACACTTGATTCACAGTACAAGCCCTTCCCCCAGTCCCTACTAACCAGTCGGGCAGGGGAAGGGAAAGACCAAATAGATCCGTAGGCTCCCAGGAAAAGGGCCTGAGAACACCTGACACACAAAGTAGGGCAGAAAGCTGAGCCTGTGCCCAGGCTAGAGACACGAACAGAACAAGCAGCCAGCCAGGTACCAGGATCCTGACACACCAGTGTCCTGGGAGAGCGGCCCAAAGGAATTGGGCTGGTCAGTGAGGACCCCCATCATACAGGCTCTAGCTCTGGCCATGGCTGTGGGGACAGGGTCACTGTTCAGGGTTTTCCCTACTGCCAGAAATCAAAAAGATTAGGGGGGGGGGGGCATTCTCAGTGTTCTCCATGAAGGAGTGTAATTCTAAAGGACAGTTGGAATGCAGGACGGCCATCATCACTGGAGTCCAGGTTGTCTGAAAGACAACAGGGTCCTGGGACCCCTACTGCCTGGGGAAGGTTGCTAGAACTAACTAGCAAAATCTCTGCCCAGTAGGAGGAAGGAGACACCACAGAGACCAGTGTGACTCCACAACACGCACGACTGCAAGAGCCTTTGGCCTAGTCTGTCCTTAGACAAGGCATTGAGGCGGAGCCTGCTCCCCTGCTTAGCCACCAGGGGTCTCTCAGGGTGGGGGCGCTGTCTGTCTCAAATGGATGCTAGAACTCAGCCATGTTATTCAAGCTGCGTCCAGGCAGAAGTGGGGGGTTAGAACATTCTGGGGGCAGTACCACTTGGGAAGAGCTGACCAGGATGTGTGAAAGAGAAGGCAGAAACAGGAAGCAGGTTCCAGGCTGAATTCCTTAGCTGTGGAAGTACCCATGCTGAGGGGAGGACAGAGCAGGGGGCTTGTACCCAGGCCTTCACCCAGACAGGGGAGCCTCAGAGGGCCTGCCTAAGCCAGCTCAGCCTTTCATTCCCCGGCAATCAGGAGGCGGCGGACCGTCCCAGCTACCGATCCAGCTGACTGTGATTTTGGCATCTGCAGTTGTCAGGCAAAGAGGCAGGAGAAAGCAGGAAGGGATTGCTGGAGCCAGTCCTCCCACTGGAAGAGCCAGGGCCAGCTCTGCACAGCCCCGCAGGAACCAGGGACACAAGGAGGAAGAAGTATAAGGCGGATAAAATGTCTCATGGTAACAGCAAGGCCTCCAGGGCCGGCGAGGTGGACTGGAAAGGAGGGGAGGAGGAGCTGCCCAGTGGGCTGGCTCCAGCTTCTATCTCCTCGGGCCTCATGACCCCTTCCTGGGCAGGAGCCCTCGGCTCCTGTAATGCTGATGCCAGGAGGAAGAGTCCGAATGGGCTCCCAGAGGAAGGGCTATCAGAGAAGGGGGCTGGTGGGCAGGGGCTGGGCTCAGAGCCCCTAGGAGTCAGGGGTAGGGAACAACTCCCCTTGATGGTCCAGGAGGAACTTGGTAAAGGTGTTGATGGGATTAATGGCCTTGAGAGTGATGGCAGCATCCTTGGCCCACAGCAGGTTAGGGCCAAAGACGACAGCCAAGTTAGTGTTGGTCATCTTGTTTTGGTCACACTGAGCAGAAACCTGCGGAGGGAAGTCAGAGGGCTGCAGCAGGGCCACAGACCCAGCTCCCAGGCCCTGCAACCAGAGCAGCAGGGGCCCGCGCTCCTCCCTCCTTCCTTCAGGCGAGAGGCAGACTCACCTGCACCAGGAAGGCAGTAAGGAAACGAAGCACCTGGTAGTTCTCCTCGGGCAACGTCTGAAGGACCTGCAGCGTCTCCTCCACTCTCTGGCTCTCGTCAATGTCTATGAAGAATGGGGGCCGGGGTTACAGGGGCCCAAGGCTGGCTGGCTCAGGAAGCCCTCACACGAGACTAGAGGGGAGACCCCAACCAAACGCGCCTGCTCCGAGTCCAGCACAGACCCAGCAGAAGCAGCTCAGACCTGGAGTGGGAGAGAGCACTCACTGAGGAAGCCCACTACGTGAGGGTAGAGGTCAAAGGTGAGCAGGGGCTCAGGAAGCTCCCGGAGGAAGGTCTTGAGGATGACCGCTGGCAGGTGCAAGTCGTTGTACTGATCGAAGTCCACAGGCAGCCCTAAAGGTGGGTGGGGAGGAGGGTGGAAGGGAGTTGGGCGGAGCCGGGAGGCCAGCAGCCCATCCGGAGGCCCCACTGCCCAACCGCCCTCAGGCTCCTCCCAGAGAGCCTCTAGCACTGCCTTCACCTCTTCCTTTATGACAACGGGATGCATTTGGGTGAGTGGGACCCCCCAGCACATACCACAGTCATTCCTTGTCTCCAAATGACCCTGAACCCAGGACCCAGAGCCTGACCCATGAGGGAGCAGGCCTGGAACAGCCACGTGGGAGTGGCATCATGTTATCTTATCTTAGCAGATGCCATAGGACAGTGGTCGGCAAACTCATTAGTCAACAGAGCCAAATATCAACAGGACGACGATTGAAATTTCTTTTGAGAGCCAAATTTTTCAAACTTAAGCTTCTTCTAATGCCACTTCTTCAAAATAGACTTGCCCAGGCCGTGGTATTTTATGGAAGGGCCACACTCAAGGAGCCAAAGAGCAGCATGTGGCTCTCGAGCCGCAGTTTGCCGACCACTGCCATACAACCTTTGACAGAAACAGAACCTGGGACCCTTGTTTATAGGGCAGTGAAAGGCAAAAGGCAGAGAAGCCCCTAACAGTCACACACCTGCCCACAACCCCTCCACCATCCACCCCAGCGCCCACATGTGAGCTGGACACCCCCAGGACCACTCACCCATGTTGTACTTCTGCTGTACCTCTCGTACTACTTGGGTGTTGGCAGACCTTCGGAAAATCCCTTCCGTGGTGAGAGCTGGGAAACAGGGGGCCTGGTGAGTCTCAGAGTTCTGGGGTAAATGTAACTCCCCATTATTCGGTCTTGGGGTTCCAGAGTCAGTGCAAGGGCTGGTGCACATGGGACCTCTCAGCCCTGTCTGGCAGCTTTCTGAGGGGGATGGGTGACCCTGAGCAGGTCGTAGGGGCAGGTGGGCCCTGGCACTCACCGTTGGCCTGCAGGTGAGCAATAGTCTCGCGGACCACGAGAGGAATGGGCTCCTGCTCTGGGTTCTTCTCCTGGAGGCTGTGGGCACAAGGGCAGTGAGCGGGGTCTACAGCCTGTCCTGGGCTCCAGGTGCCAGGTGCCCCCGTTCCCATACTCACTGCTGCAGGGAGACCCCAAACTGCTGGTTGGGCAGCGGGGGCCGTGGGGGCATGGGCTTGGGGGCTGTTGCAGGGCTCTTCTGTGTGGACTTCAGGAAGTCATCATACCTGGGGAGCAGATGAGACATTCAGGCCCTCTGCCTGGCTCTGTGGTCACTACGATAACCCCCATTTGTCAGGCACTTCCTGAGCCCTTTTACATGGGCCAGTTCATTTGATCCACACAACCACCCAGCTTTACACAGGAGAAAGGGAAGACTTTAGAGATCTGATCCGGCCCAGACGGCGTGGCTCAATGGCTGAGCGGCAACCTATGAACTAGGAGGTGACTGTTCGATTCCCAGTCAGAGCACATGCCCAGGTTGCAGGCTCAATCCTTAGTGGGGTCCATGCAGGAGGCAGCCAATCAATTATACTCTCTCATCAATGCTATCTCTATATCGCACCCTCTCCCTTCCTCTCTTAAATCAATAAAAATAAATATATAAATCCAGTCACTTTAAGTAACAGAAACAGAATCTGAACCCATACTCTCTCTCCTCATGTGCTGTCTCTCAGTCATTACATTTGCTTCCTCTGGTTATCCTGAGATTCTCAAGGCTTCCTCTCTCCTTGGCTGGCACATCCCACCCCACAAACATGACACACATGTACACAGATGCCATCCAGGGGGCACACACAGTCCTTGCCCGGCCTCACTTGAGCACTTGGCGAGGGATCCCTAGTTGCTCCAGCTTCACGTGCTCGCTCAGCTCACTCAGGTAATTCACATAGAAGATCTTCTGCCCAAACTTGAAGCTGCCGAGGGAGGAAAGGGCATGGGTTGGGGAGAGCACTGACTCCGGCAGGCCTCCACTGTCCCCTCAGCAGCACAGCCAGTCCAGACTGAGGCTCAGCCCCAAACGCTGTGTCCCCACGATGCTTGGCCTCCTCTGGCATCTGCTTCAGAGTTCAGGGGGAATCACGGGGAGACCACCACCCCGCGCTCGGCCTGCTCACCTAATGAAGGGCTTGAAGAGGATGAGCAGGGTCTTGATGAACATGGTGGGGTGCACGATGTACAGGGCCTTGATGTTCTTCTTGTACCTGTGGAGGCAGAGTGGGAATTCAGGAGTGGGCGTGGCAGGGGAGTCACACAGTATGTTTTTAATGTACATCTTCTGATTTCACTCCTTATAGCAAGCTTGCAAAGTATCATTGCTGCCCCATTTTACAGATTAGGAAAAGGAGGCTCAGAGAGATTAAGTAACATGAAAGGTCACAGAACGAGTAGGTAGAGAAACGGATTTGAGCTCAGGCTGTTCCATCTTCAGATTCTTTGCATGTACCCAGGTGTGAGCACCTGACTTCCCCTGGCATGGAATAAGCTCCTGCCCAAGCACAGAGCCACCTGCTCCAGGCCCTGGACCCCACCCCGGGCCCCAACCCACTTTCGGTCAAACTCCCGGTAGGCATCGCGGAGCCAGCTGAAGGAGGGTTTGTTGTCGCTGGTCAGGCCGTGGTGCAGGTACAGCAGTGTGTAGTCACTCTCCACGTACTGGTCCAGGGTGTGCTTCAGGTACCTTCAAACGAAAAGACCTGCTCAGGCCCGCCCTGTACACAGGTGGGTCCCCTTAAGCCAGAACCTGGTGCCCTGGAATCTGCTAATATCAAACTCCCTCCCCAAGACCCTTGGCCCTGCACTGTCCATCTGGCTGCATAAGCAGTTACTGTGTTGTTGTGGAGGGGGTGGGGCAATAATAACAACAGCTCTCAGTTTTGAGCACTGACCAGAGTCTGGAGATCAAAACTCTAACTGGAGCTCTCTCACATAATAGCAGTGAACATGGGAATAACATTTCCCTCACAGGATTGTCAAATCAATAATAATGATACTCACCATTTATCAATATTAAGCTTTTAGCATCTGCAAACACTTATCTCATGCCTTCCTTAAAACAATCAATGCTGACAATATCTCCTTCTTACAAGTGAGGGCAATGAGGCTTAGAGAGTTCAAGGGCATACCCAGGATCACAGTTTATGCTGCAGCCTGGAGGAAAATTATCTAACTCCAAAACCTGCATTTTTTTTTCTTTTTTAAAAATTTATATTTTATTAATTTTTTACAGAGAGGAAGAGAGAAGGACAGAGAGTCAGAAACATAGATGAGAGAGAATCATCAATCAGCTGCCTCTTGCCACCACCCCCCCCCCCGGGGTGCTTGGCAACCAAGGCACATGCCCCTGACTGGAATCGAACGTGGGACCCCTCAGTCCACAGGGTGACCCTCTATCCACTGAGCCAAACCAGTTTTGGCCTGCATTCTTTTTTTTTTTTTAAGTTAATTTTTATTGATTTCAGACAGGAAGGGAGAAGGAGAGAGAGACAGAAACATCAATGATGAGAAAGAATCATTGATCAGCTGCCTACTGCATGCACCCTACTAGGGATCAAGCCTGCAACCCAGGCATGTGCCCTTGACTGGAATTGTACCAGGGATCCTCAGTCCACAGGCCAATGCTCTGCCTGCTGAGCCAAGCAAACTGCGGCTCTTGGACCCCTTGAGTGTGGCTCTTCCACAAAATACCACGTTTAGGCGCACACCTACAGTGCGACTGAAACTTCGTGACCCATGAGCAGAAGGAGGGTTTCGGCCTGGGCGAGTCTATTTTGAAGTGGCGTCAGAACACTCAAGGGGCCAAAGAGCCACATGTGGCTCGCGAGCCTCAGTTTGCCGACCACTGAGCTAGGGCAAGCCTGTGTTCTTGACCACAATGCAGCTTTCCGCTTATACTTGAATTCCCAGCACATGCTGTAAAACACTGCCTCAGAGAGGAGATCGGGTGGCCAGGGGGTCCCTTCCCTGCTCCAATCACTGCGCTTTTCGTGGACCAAATAGCCACATCGCAGGTTCCCTATGCTCATAGCATATCCTCCACTCCAAAGAAACACACGTAGTGTGGAGCCCCCCCTAAGGTGGAGAAGTATAAAGAAAATGAACAAGGAATCCAGAAATGAAGAAATCCAGTGGAATGCCCTCTTTCTGGTTGGCCAGTCCCAGGCCTCAGCAGGATCACTACTGGAGGCTGGGAGGCAGGAAATACAGGGGCTTCCAAAGAGTAAGGGAAAGGAGAAAGGAACCGGTAAAGTGCCCAAGGATTCGACTAAGTGTCCAGGTACCTCCTGATCTACCCTAGAGAAGGTAACTTACACAATGGTCCATGGGTACTAGGCTCGGCCAGCACAGGCAGGCATGTGAAGTATCTAGGGATGGATTGTTACTCTGATTCCAATCACTATTATTACACAATACTTTACCCCTTAGATACATAAAAATATGGCATTTAAAATGTATTTTATTGATATTTTACAGAGAGGAAGGGAGAGGGATAGAGTTAGAAACATTGATGAGAGAGAGACATTGATCAGCTGCCTCCTGCACATCTGCTGGGGATGGTACATGCTCTTGACTGGAATCGAACCTGGGACACTTCAGTCTGCAGGCCGACATTCTATCCACTGAGCCAAACCAGTCAGGGCAAAAATATGGCACTTTGCAACTAAAAATAGCAATACTTATATTGAAAATACACTCATCCTTTGATGGATTTTATTACCTCTAGGAGGGCAATAAAATGGTATCTATCAGAAGCTATAAAATGTTCCTACCCTTTGACCCTAAGTAAAGAAGCAGATGCCGAAACCGGTTTGGCTCAGTGGATAGAGCGTCAGTCTGCGGACTGAAAGGTCCCAGGTTCGATTCCAGTCAAGGGCATGTACATTGGTTGCGGGCACATCCCTGGTAAGCAGGAGGCAGCTGGTCGATGTTTCTCTCTCATTGATGTTTCTAACTATCTCCTTCCTCTCTGTAAAAAAATCAATAAAATATATTTAAAAAAAGAAAAGAGAAGCAGAGATGAACAGAAACATTTTTGTAGAAGGCTATTCATTGTAGCCCATTTTATAATGGAAAAACAGCAACAACTGAGCAGCAAGCTAGCTATGCAACAACAGAGAATTGGTTAAATAAATCACAAGACATCTATAAATAGAATACCTCACAGGCTGCTCCCGCAGACAAAACCAATCTGTGAAGTGAGATGTCTGAACAGTGGTTGCTCTTTATGGTGTGACTGGAAGAGCGAAGGGAGGTTGGTGGGTGGGGCTGACACGGGTGGGTTCAGTTTTTCCAAATTTATCAGGTGGCACACATAATTGGTTCACTTTTCTGTATACATATCATATGTCAATAAAAACTTTTAACGGATGTCTTTGATGAATGTTTAATGCTCAGAAGATAAAAGCATTACATAAGGTACAAAACCGGCCGAAACCGGTTTAGCTCAGTGGTAGAGCGTTGGTCTGCAGACTGAAAAGTCCCAGGTTCGATTCCGGTCAAGGGCATGTACCTGGGCTGCGGGCACACCCCCAATAGGGGGTGTGCAAGAGGCAGCTGGTCAATGTTTCTCTCTCATCGACGCTTCTAGCTTTCTACATCTCTCCCTTCCTCTCTGTAAAAAAAATCAATAAAATATATTTTTTAAAAAATACAAAACCGATTATAGAGCCTTGTATATGTCATAGGCAAAAATAGGAAGCAAATGTACTAAAATATTAACAGTGGTTTTTTTCTCTGGGTGATGAGGTTTATGAGCGACTTTCTTTTATATAGTTGTGCATATTTTTCTTTAAAAATGGATACAATAGCATTTAATGTATGTATTTTACCCAATGCCCACAACAGCCCTGTGAAGTGGACACACTTCTTATTCTATGGGGCTCAGAAGACACCCACCCCCAAGTACACGGCTGGGAAGAGGCAGAGCGGAAGTGTAATCGGGCTTCTGCATCCAGCCGCAGGCTCTTTCTGCTCCAACCCCCGACCTGGGTGACAGCTGGGAAGCCAAGCTAGAGAGGATCTAACTGGCAACCAGAGAACAGGCCTGATCCTTGAGGGACGTGCCTCTCTGCTCCCAGCAGGGACTGGGACCAGGTCAGGTGGGGGAGGGGAGATCTGTGTGAGACAGAGGACAGGAGGGCAGAGGGCTTCCTGAAGCCAGGGAAAGCCCCAGAGTGGGTGCCACCTCACTCACCAGGCTCTCTCCTGAAAACCAGGTGCTTTCCCATGCCCATCCTCTGACTTCCTCCCATTCGGACTATTATCTGGCCAAGAGTCTCTCAACTGCCTGTCAGATGTGATAAAACTAGAGGTGGAGCGGGTGGAGGGATCCGTGACTCAGTCACCCTCAGGCTGAGCTCCTTGGCCTACTCCTGGCTGGGCCACGTGGTGGGCCTGGACCAGGCTCTGCCTGCCTGACTGAGGAGCTGGTGGAAGGAAGGGTTCAGGAGGCCAGAGAGGAAGATGGCACACATGGCTGGAGACTAGGGTCTGGCCGTGTGGCTCACTGGGGCTAGAGACTCAGCACTCAAGCCCTTCCCCTTCAGCTACTGTACCCCTGGACTATCCTGACCCCTCACTGTACCCTATGGCACAGAACCATTCAGAACTGTAAGGAGTTGATATGGGCAGTGAAGACATTTCCAATTTCAGGGAGCACTTTCAACTCGTCAGGAAGAGGTGCAACATGGCCCTAACCGGTTTGGCTCAGCGGATAGAGTCTTGGTTGTCGGACTGAAAGGTCCCAGGTTTGATTCCGGTCAAGGACATGTATCATGGTTGTGGACTCGATCCCCAGTAGGGGGCATACAAGAGGCAGGTGATTAATGATTCTCTTCCATCATTGATGTTTCTATCTCTCTCTCCCTCTCCCTTCCTTTCTGAAATCAATAAAAATATATTAAAAAGAAAGAAAAAAAGAAGTGCAAGATGGTAGCTGAACACACACTGAGGAGCATCCGGAGCGCAGTAGGGCTCTTCCTCCGTGGAGTCCTGCCCATGCTGTGGGCCCTGGGCTGGCAGCCGTGGCTCAATAATGAATGTTTATTGGAACAGGGCTTGTCAAACTCTCATTTTTTTCATGTTTTTAAAATACCTTATATGGTAAAACTACAGCAAACACATTTTTTTGTTCGAAGAAGGAAAATAAACGCTCTGGTTCTAAGGATGATGTAAGCTGCCCCTGGCTCCTCAATGACACTGCAGCATAGGCTGACTTTCACCGTGGCTTCTGCAGCCTCAGTCATTCCCCCTCACCCCACCAGCTAAAACCACACTAAACACACACAGGAGGAAACAGAGCAAGTGGAAACGAACCAGTATGTACTCCCAGTGGCAACAGGCCAGTTGAGAAGGAAGCTGAACCAGAGCAATGAAGTGGGCATTACTACAGTGACAATGGTATGGCCGATCAATTCTGGAATTGCCCATTTTCAATAGAACTGTGAGCTCCACGGAAGCAGATATCTTTCCTGCTTCTTCATGGCTGTGCTTGCTGCCAACAGACACAGATCACGGAGCCCCGGCAGGAACCTCCCCGCGGCCACCACATTCAAACTACCACTTTCAATCAGCCTCTTGCCTTGCATCAGGAGATTTCAGACTAACCAGAGCAGTTTTATACATAAAGGCAACAGTATCCAAGCAGGTACAGATGCCAATGGCACCAAATAACATAGCACTACTTATGCATATACATGGGGAACTACAACCACATTGGAGATAACCAGATTAGCCCTCACATTTGGACAGGATTTTACTTTTCCAACCATTTTCACACACAGTATCCCGCTCCTGCAAGGAAGGAGGGCTGTATGAATATTTCCTAGGAAAAGTGAAGAAAAAGAGACTTAAAGAGATGAAGACACTTGCCAAGGTCACACTTCCCAGGACTAAAAACCAGGTCTGACTCCTAGCCCAGGACTGACTCCCTCTGGAGAAGAGGGAGGCAGGGGGGGAGGTGGCCTGGCACCGCACACAGGGAGGGATAGTAAGGAAAACAACACCAGGCCAAGCTGGGGATCTGGGCACAGGTCCCATCACCTTCCATACAGGTACTCACCCCAAGAGCTTGCTGTGGTCCAGCTGGTGGCTGGGAGGCATTCGGCAGGCACTAAACACAATGATCTTCCGCCCATACTTGTCATCTCCTAGATTGGAGAAGATAGAGCATGGTGGATGAAAGATGAACCAAAAGGAGCAGGCTGAGGGCCTGACAGGTGCCAGGCCTGGAGACCGGTACCATTTAAGAGAGGGTCATGCAGATGCACTGTGGGCAGCTGCCTGCACTGGAGGGGGTGTCGCTGAGGGAAGAGGGACAGGTTGCTCTCAGGAATACTGGGCTGGGTATAACAAAATAACATGACTTTCAAAAAAAAAAAAATCACACCTGGTGGAATCAAGCCAAATGTCCATCAACAGATTGAATCGATAAAGAAAAGGTGGTATGTCCATGCAATGGAATACTGTTCAGCTATAAAAAGGAATGAAGTACTGATGCTTGCTACACTGTGAATAAACCTTGAAAACATTATGCTAAGTGAGAGAAGCTAGTAACCAAGAGCAACACACTATATGATTCCATTTACCTGAGTTATCTAGAATAAGTAAATCCAGAGAGAGCAAATTAGTGGTTGTCATGACTGGGAGGGGGCAAGAACAGAGACTGACTTGATTATGAGTACGGGGTTTGTGTGGGCATGGTTGAAATTCTGGAGTACATGGAGATGGAGATACACAAGATTGTGACTACTAAATACCACCAAATTGTACAATTAGGAACGGCTAATTTATATCACACCCTGTCTTAAAGCAACTGTCTTGCCAAGGAGCCACCTTCAAAGTCACACTTATTTCAGAGGCATCCGCTTTAAGCAGTGTGTATTTGGAAAACCTCACCGAGAAAATCAGCCTGATTATACAATAGTCTCTCTCTTTTTTTTCTTTGTTAATCCTCTCCTAAGGATATTCTTTCCATTGATTTTTAGAGAGAATGGGAGAGGAAAAGAGAAAGAGAAAAACATTGATGTGAGACATTGACTGGTTGCCTTCTGCACATATCCCAAAGGGCCTTGATCAGAATCAAATCCTTGACCCTTCAGTCTGCTGAGAAACCCACTGAGAAACCCGGCCAGGGCAACAGTAGTCTCATTTTTGACCACTAACAACACTTTCTGATTTTATTAGAATTATTAACCACACTTGCCTCTAAATTCTGGACATTTCTAAAAATCATACCCTTTGTCATTAAGGATATTCCAAAGAACATGAAGTTGAGAGGAGTTTGTAATGTTGTAGGAAAATGTTCATTTGGATGTAATGTGTCTGGGATGTTTGTCCACAACTAGTCATAATTTGAAGGTCTGACCATCATGAAACCAGGGAGCTCCTGAGACATGTTTTTCCTCCCCAAAAGTGAGATGTTCTTCCAGGTCAGCATGGATCAGGAACCCCAAGCAAAGATCCATGGGGACAAGACCTGGTCCCTTCCTTCCCTTCAGCTCTGCCCTCATGCTTCTCCAGAGCACCAGGCCACATTTGCTTCACCCCGATTGTTTCAGAGGCAAATAGAAAGACCACTGACACAGCCCACGAAGTGCAGTGAGTCTGTCTGCCATCTCCCTCTGAGGACTAAGGATCCCCCAGGCCTTGCTGAGGGTTTTCTCCATATTTAATAAGCCATGACCTTGATGGTCCTTCTTGGTCAGTGACTTCACTCAGGAGTTGGCTATCAAGTGGTTGTCAAGGCTCTGACTCTATTCTCTAGGGCTGGGGCCAGCATCTATGGAGAGGCTGAGAGAGGCTTCTGGAAGATGGGCAAATTCCTTGGAATGGCTCACAGGATTATCCAGGCTTGGCTCCTGCCTCTCCAGGCTCACACTGTGCACTCTTCTGACACAAAGTGCTTGCAGCCTTGTGCACAGTAGGCTGTTTCTCATGCTGGACAGACCTTTCTCTGGACAATTTTGCTCCCCTCCTCTAGGCTAAGTCCTCTCAATTTTAACTTAAGACTCATCCAAGGCATAATCTCCTCCAGAAGCGTGCGTCTTCTCCTCCTTCCCCTAGCCAGCTCAGCTGTCCCTTTTCATGGCTCCAAGCATAGACCATTATCCATGACGCTCTGCCTCTTCTAAATAATTGTTTATGTGCCTGTCTCCTCTATTGGTTTGTGACAGCTCCATCTTTGAATCTTTCACGCCAGACCAGAGCCAAGCATGTGGCGGGTATTCAATAAATGCTGGTAGTCCGCACAAAGACATCAGTCAGAATTACACAGTATGCATGGTTCTATTTCTGGGTTTGTTCATGACCTCTAGGTCATCAGACTGCTTGAGGCAGTAAGTTTCCCATAGTCTGGGGCAAGATTTCTCCAGACTTACAACTAGAGAAACCTCTGCAAGCCTGTATGAGGGGGAGAGGGTGCAGTTCATCTAGCAGCAGGTCTATTTTGATGAACCGGATATCACTTGCTCTCTCATACCCTAGCCTAGATCCTGGTGTTGGATTCCTTCCAGGCCAGGGGGGAAGGGACAGTCTCAAGGGTATACTGTGATTCACTTCCGATGGGAACGGAGAGTAAATGGAAGAACAGACTGGGTCATAGGACTAGACTGGCCAGCCCAGCCTCATGTACAATCCAGAGCTTTAGGAACCCCTGGGCCTCCTACTAGGAACCTGTGAAGGGAGGGATATCATTTGCCTACTCCCCTCTAAACAGGAAATGCCCCGGATGTGGGGTAAAACCCTGGGAGGAGCATGGGGATTCCAAGAGATTCTTCCTATGCCTGCCCCCAACAGTAAGGCAGCGCTCATTGGCTGGCAGACTTGAGGACTTAGGCAGGAAAGAAAGTCTGAGCTCACTGGGTTTTGGAATTTGAAGAGCTAGTAACTGGTTAAGCAGCAATTTGGGTGAAGGGCCAGAGCCTGTGCTCCATCTCTCAGCTGGCCCAGCACCTTGTACGTGGGAAACTGGATCCTCAACTGAGAGGGCAGGGCGGGGTGAGGGAGCAGGCGGGGCGAGAGGGCAGGTGGGGTGAGAGGGCAGGTGGGGGTGGGTCCAGCTCCAGGTAACTGGACCCTAGGCCTAACCCAACCAATCAGGTCAGCCAAGGTAGCAGCACCACCCTCCCTATAAAACCCATTGATATGTTAAGTTCTTCCTCTTTCTCGCCCATGCCCTCGTTGGTGTAGATGAGACTGGGCTCGGACTAGTCCGAAATAAATACAGACTCTCTGCAATTGCATCTGATTCGGCTCCCTGGTAGTCTTTGGGGTTTATGACACTTGGGCATAACACAACCATGGCTCCCCTGATGGGCATCCACCAATGCCATGATGTCATATGAAAAATATTACAGGCACATGCATGTGTTCGCTAGGGCAGTAGGTCTACACTTTTCACATTCTCAAAGACCAGCTTGAAGAACCACTTCACGGGCCTGGGCACTCCTTGTAGAAAGGAGTGTGTATTTTCCAGCAATGAATCCTCAGTGCTGACCAGGAGGCTTAATCCGGAGCAGATGTCCAAAAAAGGAAGGCTGAGTGAAGTCGGGATGGGGGTGGAGGACAAAAGGAGAGGAGTGAGGTAAGACCCCCAGACAGGTGAGGAATGAGGTATGGGCAACCCGAGGGTCTCGCCCCCACCCTTCCTGCGTGCCCAAGTCCTTCGGTGACACAGGCATTTGCCAGCAGGCAGGGTGACTGCTGCCCCAAGAACATACGTAACAAGGCCCAGAACTCCCCTCCTGGTGCGAGAAGAGAGTAGACTTCTGCCCTGGAGCCTGAAGGGACAGGAGCTGAGGCAGCACTAGTGCTCCCGGAGCTGGGGGAGGGCTCAGTCAGGAGGAGGCACACAGCTGTGGAAAGCACCAGGAAAAGACCAGCCGCCTGAGAACGAAGCCTCTGCATTCCCCAGATACCGATCATGAATTCTCCCAGGGCAGCCTGGGTGTTAATCAGCAATAGCAGCTCCTCCAGCAGCCATTCTGGGAACTGCCCGGCAGCCAGGCCAGCCACCTGCCCCGCCCACAACCTGCAGGGCAGGCCAAAGAGGTGGGAGGTGGGGGCTGGGCAAAGTGCTGGAGCCGGCTCATATAGCTGTTATATTGTTAAACTGGCAGGAATATTGCAAGCCAGTTGACATCGTGTTGGTAGCTTGAAATCTCCCATGGTAGAAATTTCAAGTGGTACAAATAATAACCTTTTTTTTTTTCCCTTTTAGGAGGGCCACCTCTATCAGCACACCACTGGCAAGAACCCGTGTGGACCGAGTTCAATGTGACAGTGGAGCATGACAGCCGCCGCTAGCGCTAACAGAGGCTGCAGAGGAGGCGGGGGCATAACCCAGCCTCCATTCCAACGTGGGCTCTTTCTCTGGTTTCTAATGCCAGGAAGCGGGCCCTCCAGGATGTCAACATGGTCACATCAAACAGGTCTCACTCTGGCAGTGCCAATCCAAACTCCACTCAGCAGTCAGAGAGGCATAGGCACGGGGGACAACCCCACCCGAGGGGCGCTGCGCCTGCAGCACTCAGCTCAGGCTTCAGGAGCCAGCATGCAGGCCAGGCCATTGCTCAGAGCCAGCCACCTCCCTCGCTACCTCTGTGGACCCTGCTGTCCCTGAAGCTCCTTTCCCTTAGGTTCCGGATGTATTGCCACACAGCTGCCACCCATAATTCTTTGCTATTTCCGGCTCCCAGGCACCGCCCTCTGCCAGCTCCCTAGAGTGGGGCTGCAATTAAGCTGTCCCAGGAACCCTTCCGGATTCACAGCCCAGAGGCCACAGCCCAGAGGCACTAAGCAGGGAGAGCCAGGAACACACCTACCTGGCTGGGCCCCCTCAGGCTCATCACACCCTGGGGAAATAGAAACATGTTGCAGCTCTGCTGGCAGGGCAACAAGGGTCACCCCTGGGGAGAGGAGCAGCCTGCTCTCCTTGTGATCTGGCCACATAGGCCAGGAGGATGTCAAGATAAGAGACTCCTTCACATCAGGCAGAGTCCCCCACCCCTACCCCTGCCCCCTTGCCCCAATCCGGTGCCTCTCTGATAGAGAGGAAAGACAGTTCTGAACTTTCAAGAGTCTGTCCTGTGTCCAGGTCAGAACCAGATCAGGAAAGAACTCTCAGCCTGCTTCTGTCGGGGTGAGAGAGGCCGTAGCCAAGTCCCCCAACCCAGACCTGGGCGGGGTCCAGGAACACAGGTGTCATGGGAATACCTTTGACGTTAGGGATGACCTCCAAGCCCAGCACTGAGGAGAGATGCCTTCAGTCCCCACAGCCAGACCACACTGCCTGACACTGGGTCCAGAGACCATGTGCCCCTGCTCCCCTGCCCATCCCAGTGACTCAGAGAAGGGCCATGCTGTCACTCTTGCTTATAGCTGCCTGGCCTCACTGAGGACCAACAACCATTAGGAAAAAGATAAAAGAATCTTGCAATTAATTTCCTCTATTTAGCAGTAGGACCCTGAGGGCAGAAACCAGGGCATCAACATCCCTGCTGCCTCTCCTGGCCCTGCCTCTCTTCTCCCAGTCTTCTGGGTACTGCATTATGAACTGGAGGGTGGGAGCACATGGGGACCAGACTGGGGGATACTCTGCACCCATTCTAATAGGGTGAGACAGCTGCTGGGAACCTGATGCTGCGGGGTCATGTGGCCCGACTTCTGATTTCCTTCGAGGTAAGAAGGACTGGCACCTGCCTGCTCTCCAGTCACTGAGGGAGTAGAAAAGCTGGCATGAGGGCAAAGAAAAGGGAGGTAAATGACCACTTATTCAGGGCTAACTATGTACTCAGGGCTAGCCCCCGGCATACATTCACTACTGCAGTGCTCTCAATAACGCTGCCAGGAAGAAATGAGTTCTGAGAGCAAAGCTAGAAATCAAACCAGGGCTTTCCAACTTCAAAGCCACTAGGCCACACTTCCTCCTACACACCATCCGCCAGTGGAGACAGTGGGGTCACAATTTAGGAAGTGGTTTCAGGTGAACAAACCAAGTGACCACCACAATCAAGTCTGAGTTTAAAGAATGGTGCTCAGGAGATCCAGGGTCAGGGGTCAGACCACAGAACTGGCATGGCCCCTCCTTACCCTGTAGTGTAAGGGGCTGCAGGCTATGAGGAAAAAGATGCAAAATTGGGTGTGCTTACCTGCCACCTCCACAATCTGGTGCCGGGCAATGTCATAGTAAGGGTCATCCCACTTCAGGTGTGTGACAGGCTCCGGGGAGCTGCTCTTGGAGTCATCTGAGGAATATGGCAAAGTGAGGGGAGAGCCTGGGGGCTGGCCCAGTGTTCTCCCTGAGACCTGTGCTCTTGGGCCCTCTCCCCAGTAAGGCTTGTGCTCCTAGCCCCACACTGGGGTTGGTCAGCTTGCCCCCATCTGCCCTCCCAGAGCCTCCCGCCAGAAGGAAGGGGTCTCCCCATCTAAGGTGCCTGTAGATGCCTGAGATCCAGTGGTGCCCACCTGACTTGGGAAAGTCGGGCATTTCATCCGAAGGCCAGTTCTTCTCATCAATGGAGGCTAGCTTCAGCTGGTTCAGAGCCTGGCTGGTGTCATCCAAGGTCAGGTCATCCTGCAGCTCTGAAAGTGGGTCCATAGCTGAGCCTATCCCGACAGCCTCACCCCACAGAACCTGAAGAGAAATCTGGGAGAAGGCAGTTACAGGTGTAAAGAGGGTCAGCAACACCCTCTTTATACCTGTAACTGCTATAGCTAGCCTCCTTCCCTGTTGTTTTTATTTTTTATTTTATTGATTGTTTACAGAGAGGAAGGGAGAGGGATAGAGAGTTAGAAACATCGATGAGAGAGAAACATCGATCAGCTAGCTGCCTCCTGCACCTGCCCTTGACTGGAATCGAACCTGGGACCCTTCAGTCCACAGGTCGATGCTCTATCCACTGAGCCAAACCGGTTACGGCGTCCTACCCCATATTTTCCTTCCCTAAGCTCCCTTGTCCCTGTCCCTGAACACTTCTCATCCTTGCCAAGAGTTCCATGTAGTTCCTGGTCCTTCTGGCGCCACAGTTTTCTGTCATGTTGCCAGAAAAGGCAGCTGGGCAGAGGATGGCACAGCTCAGTGCCTGCCTTCAGGTCCTCCAGCTGGATGGGGAAGAGTCGTGCCAGGCCCTGCACTGCCTACTGCCCCGCTGGCTCAGTCCTATAGTCCCAGCTGCAGGGGGCAGAGGTCCGTGCCCCTCTACTAAGGGGTCATAGAGCATAGAATGCTTCCGGACCCTAGCAGTTATGGGGCAGAGATGGTATAAAAATCTAAGGAGCGTATGGATGCTCCAAACCCCAAAAGGGCAGCTGTGGCCCTAGCTACTCTATCTTTGACCTCTGAGTTGGGGAAGAGGAAGTGGCCAAAGACCACAGGGGCCCAGAAAATAGGCCTCTGCTGGGTCTGCCCAGGGAGCCAGGAGCAGAGGATGGAATCTGCCTGCCAGTCATAGCAGGTTCCTGGGGGCTCCCAAGCTCACTCTAATCTGCGGGAGCTCCAGGTGCTAACTTCAAGATGGCTAAGGTCAACAGACTGTCCCAAGGGCTGGAGGGCACAGATGGGAAAGGGGGAAGTTCATGACATCATCAGAATGCTGAGATACAAGAGGTGAAAAAGAGAACAGCAGCTAGAGCAGACAGGGAAGAAGAGCCACTCGGAAACCGGGCTTGCTCAGGTCTGGGGTTTGGCTGTAAGGATGTGATGCACGCACGCAGCCTGGAGGCAGCACTTTCTGCCCTCAGCCCTGACGGGCAGCACACCCCTCTCTCATCACAAGCTCACCACATGGGCAAGGGAGTGCAATTTCAATTCAACCCAGTCAGTCTAGCCCCAGAGAGGCTGCTCTAAGCTTGCTGCATTCCTGGAGTCTAAAAAATGACATATATGGTCAGAGAACCATCAGGGCAGATAAGGAGTGCAGACGAGACCCAGGCACGGGTAGGAAGAGAGAATTGCCACCAGGGATTCAGACCCTGAACACTCTGGACTCGGAGGTGGCATGACAACCTCCCGTACAAGTCACAGCCAAGGACTCTGGATGGTAAACTGGTTCTGTGTAACTAGCAACAACCATCCTGTTACCAGGGCAACTATTCCGATTCAGTGGCAAAAGCTGTTTCGAACTCCTGAGCCAAAGCTGAGCAGCCAAAAAACAATAAACCCCGTCCCCCCACCTTTTTCCTCTTCTCCTTAGGTCTCTTTTGTTATCCTTATCCACTACTGCTGTTACCGCCAAATGTAAGTCCCTTCCCAAGAACATAAAAGAAGACTCTCTCCTGTTTGGGAATGCATTTTTCCCAGGGAGTGCTGCTGTGCCCCTCACTCCAGATTCCTTAGTCCCCTTCAACCTTCTAAGGCAGGCAAACCTCAGTCTTGAGGATTCCTCCCCCGATTCATCTACATACTCCTCCCTACATTCAACCAGGAGGCTGTGCCAAAGGCCCTCTCACCCCCCAGCTGGATATTAGGGACAGAATGCAGCTCAAAGTAACCCTCTCCAGTCTTGAGCCTTCTCTCCTTCCCTTCTTTCTGTCATTGCCCCGGCACCAAGTGCCCCTTCAGCTCTGCCCACAGCCACCCAGAGAAGTCTTTCTGCACACAGTGGGTGGGTGCTTGATGCCATGAAAAATGGCAGGGGATGAGGCGTTTGGAGAACTGGATCACAGTCCTGCCTACACCAATGAGTTGCAAAGATGCTTGGGCAGTCCTTTTCCTATCTGGTCCTAAATGTCCTCATCTGTACAAGTGAAGGCTCCTTCCACAAATATAATCCTCCAGGGTCCTAAAATACTGTGCTGGAGTGAACAACAGGATCAGAAGGAACAGCTGGTAGCTGGAGTATGTGTGAGGGAGGCGGTCATCCTCTAAAGTTTAAAAGGAGAGCTGGAAGTCCCACCTCTTTCCCAGTAATTCCTCTATTTTGTCCGTTCTCCTAGACCTGACCCCTGCTCCCCCATAACCTCCTCTTCCAGAATAACTAGTCACAGTTGTTCCCACCTCCCGACTGGCCTCTCTCACCATCCTCCAACCCACAGTTGTTGCCCCCCGTGAACCTGGAAGTTTAGCTCCCACTCAGAGGGAGGGGGAGCAAAGCTAGTGAGAAGAAATTCTAACATTTAGTGGAAGTGAAGTATCCTGGCTGCCTCAGACTCCAGGCACCTACAAGCCCCGCTCCACTCTGCAAAATACTCCTCACTTGGAGGTTAAGTGTTCCCTTCTCGGTAGGTAAAAATCTACCTTTATAAAATCTCAGGACTCACTTTTGGCAGTTTAGGCAGTTTTTACCTAGAGGTTTTAACCTATGGGAAGTCTGGACCTCTCAGAATTATTTATTTATTTAAAATATCTTTTTAAATTGATTTCCGAGAAAAAAGGAGAGGGAAAGAGAGAGCGATAGAAACATGCATGATGAGAGAGAATTGTTGATCGGCTGTCTCCTGCATGTCCCCCACTAGGCATGGAGCCTGCAACCCAGGCATGTGCCCTGACCAGGAGTCGAACCGTGACCACCTGGTTCATATGAACCTCTGAAATCCTGACACAAGTTGTGGTCTTCCCCCCTAAGACAAATCAGCATTTGCATGAAATCTTCTATGCAATTTTAAGTGGTTCACATGCCTTCTAAGAATCTCTGTTTAAGAACTCTGACCTATTAAGAATTACACCTGCCACAAGTAGGTACTCAGTCATTTATTGAATGACATATTGAATTAATTCACCTCCTAAGTGGAGAAGGGAAGCAACATTTGTTGTGGGCTGTATGGCACCATGAACTGGACACAAATTATCTATTAACTTTACAACAGCATCTAAGAGGCATTGCACTACTGGGCCCATTTTACAGTCCAGGAAACTAAGCAAATGCCAACAGTCACACAACAGAGTCAAGGTGGTCTCATTGTGCAGGTCAATCCCTCAATATTTCCCTAAGTGACTGTACTTCATTCATGCGATTCTCAAGGTTGAGAGAAGTTCCACAAAACAAAAACAAACAAACAAACAAAAAACACCACAAAACAAGGCCTCTCCCCTAATCTCCTCCGAAAAGAACGGAGGTAACAACTTGAAATCGCTTTCCCTGGCGTTGGGATCGTCTTCCTAGGAGCTCCAAACTGTGAAAACGCAAATCCTCCATCAGCAAGGCTTTCCAGTACATTCACGTTTGCATAGAGCCCCATGGTTTACAAAATCCGGATTGGGTGCACTGATTATGAAACAGAGATGAACGCCTGGCCTAATAGGTGGCAGGGTGAAACACTTCCCCCAAATTTCTTTCTCTTCGCGTTTCGCGGGATCGGAGCAGGGAGCCTTTCCCTCCCATGGACTGGCTCGAAAACAGCAATCTGAGCCGGACTCTGCACTAGGGAGGGCAGGAGGAAGGCAGCGAAGGAAGCCCAGTCCTCTCCCTGCAGAAACGCGAGCGGGGCAGAATCCCCGCAGCAGGAAGGCCAGGCCCCCAGGTCCCACTCCACCCTCCTTTCTTCCTCGGATCCTCCCCGTCGGGATCGCAGCCCTTCAGACGGCGGGGCCAGGCCCTTCCCTCCCCGCATCACCGCCCGGGGAGACCCGCGCCCAGCAGCTCACCGCGGTCGGCCGCGCTCCGCTCCTTTTGCCACGCCTGTCAGAGCTCGGCAAACATCCGGCTCCGCTGCAAAAAACGGGAACCGCCTCCTCCCGGGCTCCTGGCTCCCCAGCCACTTCCGCCACACCTCCAGCCCACTTCCGACCCGTCCCCGGGCCAAACTTGGCCTTCCGCGGAGCCCACTTCCGGTCCGCGCCCGCCGGGGATCAGGACGGCATCCCTGTCCGACGCCTCCCTCCCAGAAGGAGGAGGCTGGGACGATTCGTTCCTCTTTCTCTGGCACTCGAGCCTCCGGCGGCCCCCGGAGCCCTAAAGCGGATTGTTTTCCGACTGGGTTGTGCTTCCCCAGTGCTGCCACACTCCCGGTGCTGTGCACCAATGAAGTCCGACGCGTACGATGCTTTCCTGAGAGTAAATCGGGCAGTCCGTAGCTGTTTCCGGGAGGAGCTGAGAAGGCGATGCTCACTTCCGGTGGAAGGGTTTTCTTTTCTGCCCGGGGATGGAGGCGGCGGCGGAGCTGCTCTTGGAGCCGGAGAGGCTGCCGTTCGGTGAGAGACCTGCGAGATCGCTGACCCTGGGCCTTGGCCTAGGTAGCACTTGACATTCTCCGGTCTATTCTCTGCCCCGACCCTTTCCCTCCGGAGCCCGGGAGCCTTCTGTGGTGCCCTCAGTCTCGGGGGGTGGGGGGGTTTCTTCAGATCCCCCGAACCCTCTCAGATCTCTCAGGGGCTTCCTTGGAGCCCTTCTGGACCCCTCAGGCCGGACGTGCGGTTTTCGCCCCGCCACGCCTAACTCACGACCTCTTGGGTCACTCCCTCATTGCCTTCCTACCTCCTTGCAGACCCCGAGCGGCGCCGGGATCCGGGCTCAGGATGGAGCCCTTCTGCAGAAGGCTGTGCTCAGGGCCTCAAAGACTGTGCGGCCTGGCCCAGCCGAGCCGTCCACGCTTTAAAGACCCTCCCCCAGGGGTTAGCCCTGGGCCCCTCACTCGTGGAGAAACAGCGCTTGGGGGTCTGGT